GGGTATTGCAAATTGTGGTCTGATACATATCAAGGTATCCATTTTGGGGAAGGCTTCACTAGTTGGATATCCTATCATATGGTTTCTAAGGATCCTCCTCACTGTTCCCTTGCTTTAGCATAGGAAACCCTATTGGATAAATCCCATGTCCAGCAGTATTTCTCAACCTCAATAATTTAAAGAGGTATAAATTTTAACTTTCAGAATTCCTCAGCCAGCCCTGCCTGGGGAATTCTGGGAATTAAAATCCATATAGTTGCTGGGGTTGAAAAACACTGATATATAGCAATACAATGTATTCTGATTCATGTTTAAACAGGAGTTGAGATAGAGACTGTTATGAGGAAGGTTATATATGCTTTTACACATGAAACACGATATATCCACAGGTTCTTTAAAAGTATGCTGCAAGGCAATTTTACCCCCTTCTCTCTTTATCATATCTAGTGTTCAGAAAAACCACTTTTGGAGACACAATCTCACTTGCTTTGCAAAAAGATTTTGACTCTTCTGTAAGTTGAGAACTTCTGAAAATGCTGCCCCAAGCATTCCCTTGATCTGTATGAAATGAACATCCTCTGTTAAAAGTGAAAGAGGGTCCTAGCCAGAATTTTCACAGCATAAGCTGCCAAACTTTCTCTCATATCTCAGCTGTTCTTCTGTAATAGTTCATGAAATTCTGCATAATCCTGGGCTGGCTTCAATTATTAAGGAGGTCTCTGTAACATGGGAGGTACACTGAAAAAGATTGGTTTGCCTTTTATTTTACATCACTATGAGAAAGAGCTGCTTCTCCATGGCTGAGAAATAGTCTTAAAGCCACAGAAAACAGTGGGGGACAAAGTCTTTGAAATAACCTACCACAGTCATTGTTTTCATGGAGAACTGAATGCTTTGGTTGGTTAGGAAGGAACTTAATGCCTAGGACCAAGAACAATGAAACCAATTTTCCAGCACAAAATGATTGTATTTAGCTAATTTAAATGTTTATGTTTTTCCCCTTCAGAAGTTTTGGGTTTAAATCATAATTCTTTCAATACACTCAACACAAATTGTCTTTGTTTTGAAAGATTGTGGCTAGGAAAGTCGTGAAATGGGAAGGGCACAGGTTCGTTCACTTTCCTAGTGCAATGAATACTATAATCTTGAGGATATAGTTAAGTGCTATTCTGAGGATGACTTATTATATTTGTATTAAAACAGTGCTTCTTACAGTGTGTTAACATATCTCTGGATATGTTAAAGCTGCTGATTCCTTGGAATGTTTATATGATAATTTCAGAGGAAACTTCACATGTGCTTGTGCATGCACAAGCAACACTTGTGCTGGAATTATGTATGGATCCAGACACATAGCCTACAGTTCCAAAGAACATAACTCCTTTAACACTTGAAATATTCTCTTTTAAATGGTAAATCAGTCATGTCTTTTGGAACATGAGTCTGGGTGCATGCATACTTAATGCATAACTTTATTTAGTAATGCATAACACTAATACTATGCTTTTGTATGCTTTGCACAGATCTATTTCAAATGATTTATTTCAATCTTTTCCAATCTCTTGCCTTACACAGATTTGGGGCTAGAACTTCCATAACTTTCTAGTTAAAGTGATTAAGAGAAATTATCATTTCTAGAAATCAAAATTGTAAAGTGTTTATAAAAATATGAAAAAAAGTTCTTTTACATGTGAAAAGTACCCTCCATTCATATAAAGCTGTTCTGCATCGTTTGCTTGAACAATTCATGAGATAAATGAAATCAAACTCAAAGACATTAATTTCCTTTACAATAATGATAATTGGTACTAAATCTGCACTGCAGAATCATAGCTTTTATATGAAAATGTAAGAACCATAGTTGGTTCTTACATTTGGTTTTTTTCTTTGCAAAGTCCTTAAGATATAGAACAAGTTTCCAAGTGAATCAGTTTGACTGCAAAACAAAATAGATAGTAGCAGCTTTCTGGTCAAACCATGGTAATGTAAGGCTTAGTTGTTCACTTAGCATAACATTTATATATAGCATATAGTAGTTCATAGCTGTTCAGAATAGAATAGAATAGAATAGAATAGAATAGAATAGAATAGAATAGAATTCTTTATTGGCCAAGTGTGATTGGACACACAAGGAATTTGTTGGTGCATGTGCTGTCAGTGTACATAAAAGAAAAGATACATTCATCAAGAGTCAAAAATCATAAGGTACAACACTTAATAATAGTCATAGGGTTCAATAAGCAATCAAATCATACTAGGAAATAGTCAATAAAATCATTAGGATACAAGCAACAAGGTTACAGTCAAGTCATAAGTGGGTAAAAGGAAGGAGGAGAGGATTAATAGTAATAGTAATGCAGATTTAGTAAATAGTTTGACAGCGTTGAGGGAATTATTTGTTTAGCGTTTGGGGAAAAACCATTCTTGTGTTTAGTTGTTCTGTGTGCAGTGCTCTGTAGTGTCGTTTTGAGGGTAGGAGTTGAAATAGTTTATGTCCAGAATGTGAGGGGTCTGTAAATATTTTCACAGCTCTCTTTTATATAAACTATAAATAGTATATAGTATTTCATAGCTGTTCACTTAGCATAAAAATATAGAATTCAACTGAATCTTATCTGTACAACTGATTTCCTTCAAGCTATTCTAGAAGGAGTGGCAGGAAATGAAAACATATAATAGATTCTCTTTTAACAGGGCCCTGACCTCTACTTTTACACAGCTCAATCTATCACATTTATTCCAACTATCAATATGACATGCAATTTTCAAAATGGAAAAAAGCAAAGAGTAGTCCCAATTTGCTCTAGACAGGTCTTCTTTCCATTTGTTATAGAAATCAAAACTGCAAATCTGAAAATAATAAATAAATGCAGAAAACAGAAGACAAATTTCTACTGAGGTATTATATGTATATCACTGCTTTCCCAACTTTTTCTTTCATTACCCCAAACTGCTTATCAGAAAGTCCTTATTTTAATGCCCCTGTTGTGATTGGGCAATAGATTTGTGTATCATTACTCAAAGGAAAAAAATACCCAATTTTTGGTAATCTATCTAGGTTTGAGAAACCCTATAGAGTATATGAACTCATGGGACAAGATCACTTGCAAACAGATTCAGTGTTTCATTTAAAAGATCTCATACTTTTATGGTTACAGGCTTCTCTCCACAGTATGTGGTGGGAAGGAATTGTGATTTTTTTGAGTACCCAATGATATGGAAAGAAACCAGTGTGCCTTTTGGTTGGGGATGTGATCCTCTTTCTGATTTTAGACCAGCTTTTCCTAACCTGGTGCTCTGCAATTATGTTGGATTTTAATTCCTGTCATTCCTCGCAAAGCATCTCTCCACAAAGTACTCAAAGCAGACTCAAAGCAGTGAGGATCAAAAAACACTTCAAAAGGGTACCAAGTTCACCAAGGCTGCTCTAAAATCTGAAAAAAGATCAAGGAGATAGTTGCCAAACGATGATAGCAAGGAGATGAGAAATTCACAGTTTTGGTTCATCTCTTCCATACTTATATGCAATGAAGAACTTTTCTTCCATAATACACACTTTGGTTCCAAATCCAGGTGTTACTGGGTTAATGCAATTTCATCATAAGAATTAAATAATTAAACTTTATTGGGGATGTTAACAGATAACAGATAATCAGAGTTGGAAGGGACCTTGTAGGTCATCTAGTCCAACCCTGCCACCCAAGCAGGAGACTCTACACCATTTCTGACAAATGACAGTCCAATCTCTTCTTGAAAGTCTCAAGTGATGGCACTCCCACAACTTCCAAGGGCAAGGTGTTCCATTGGTTGATTGTTCTCACTGTCAGAAAGTTTCTCCTTATTTCCAGGTTAAATCTCTCCTTGCTCAGTTTCCATCCATTATTCCTTGTCTGGCCCACAGGTGCTTTGGAAAATAGTTTGACCCCTTCCTCCCTGTGGCAGCCCCTCAAATATTGGAAGACTGCTATCATGTCTCCCCTGGTCCTTCTCTTTACTAGACTAGCCAAGCCCAGTTCCTGCAACCATTTGTTGTATGTTTTAGTCTCCAGTCCCCTAATCATCCTGGTTGCTGTTCTCTGCACTTTTTCTAGAGTCTCAACATCTTTTTTATAATGTGGTGAACAATGTTGCTTCTACAATGGTTCAGGTTTATGCTTTCCTTTTTGGCTGTATAGGCTGTATAGGCAAAGCATAGCAATTAATTGAAACTGGGGCTTTAAAAAATACACTGTACAGCATGAAATATTGTGTTGTGGGCCAATGAGGCTGCACTCAGATATCACACCAGATCTTAGTTGCCAGGATTCCAGCAGTTATTCCAATGTCAACTCATAAAATATTTTCTATACATGTTTTATAATTGTCACTAGTATGATTTCAATTCCAATCTATCAGAATAGAGCTGGAAGGGACCTTGGAGATCTTCTAGTCCAATCTCCTACTCAAGTGGGAGACCTATACCATTTCATATAGGTGGTGGATGGTTCAGTCTTTTCTTAAAAACTTCTAGTGATGAAGCACCTATAACTTCTGAAGGCAAGCTGTTCCACTGGTTAATTGTCCTCAGTGTTAGGAAACTTTTCCTTAATTCCAAGTTGCTTCTCTCCTTGACTAGTTTCCACCCATTGTTTCTTGTCTTGCCTTCTGGTGCTTTGGAAAATAATTTTGATAATATTCCTTTTCTTTGTGGCAACCCCTCAAATACTGGAATACTGCTATCATGTCACTACCAGTTCTTCTTTTCTCTAGACTGGCTAAATTGCCAAAACCTATCCAGCAATCATTTGCCTTTTTGGACAACAGCTTCAAACCAAAAATTCTCAGCCAACAAGTGTTTGCTTGCCAATCAATATCTGAGTGTTTTACAATACTCTGGTTTCTCTTCAGTTCATATACAAATTTCAGCCCTACAACCATTGAGGCTGATATCTAAACACTCACACTTTCTTCTCTTCACAAAAATATGGATAATTAAATTTTTATGTTTCCCCATATTTTAGGATGAGCACTTCTGGTGACTTGAGAACTCCCAATGCTAGCAATGATGTGACTTCTCCATTTGTGATTCTTTACCTACTTATGTCCACAGACTGCTCTGATGAACTCTCTGAAGGCAAATAAAAACCTCCCCCAGTGAAAGCACTGGCTGTTCCTTCAAATAATTTTGGAGGTGGCATTTGCTGCCTTGAACTAGCATTTTCCTGCCCCCCGGATACAACAATGCTGGCAAAAGAAGATACCAAAATATCAACACCATTCCTGGATTGTGTAGTCACGTGATCAACTGTACCAGGACTGTTCCTTTGTCTGGGAGACCTCCTAGTATGTTTTGTGCAGGATTTGTTGGAAACACTGCAGATAAACTTCACGTGCACTCTCCAGATGTTTTTTTGTCAATATGAGTTTAATGTAACTGTAAACCTATTTAGCTTCCTCTCTCCTCCCCCCCATATGAATCTTCATGAGATTTGCTTTATTCTATGAATAAAGTTTGGGAATTATTTGGTATAACTTTTGGAAATATTTTCATGTATTGGCCAAAATCTATATAGCCATAGCAATAACAGCTAGGTACAAGGTCAGAAAAATTGAGGTTTTGGCGGAATTAAAACCCATCTTTTAAAGAAAGCTCTGCAAAGGGGTGTAATATAACCTCCATCAGTGTTTTTGTTTTCAGTGACCTTAGTTTCTTTCTTAGTAACATTTGTTGTTATTTCTCACTCTAGTTAATTACTGTATTTTATTAGTCTTTTAGTTCTTTTACTACAAGAAAGAAATATAAGAGTCCTACTAGACTGGAGTGGTACATAAGAGCTGAAAACAAATAAATACACAAACAAATAATTCTATTGTATAATATAATAAGGAGAGAACCAGTGCTTTCATTTCAGGAATTATTTTAGTCAATCTATTAACAAATGTAAAGAACAACAAGCGTTCAATTGCTCCATCTCTTGAAATATTTGCTTCTCCAAAATAATGCTTTGGGGATGTTCAGAAATTAGAGAGTATTTTGCAATATCATATCTCAAGTGCTCTGTGCAAAGATGAAGCTAAAGTTGCCGAATTAAAAAATACCTCAAAGTTGTGATGTATTCTCAATTTAGGAATCATCCCTATTTTATTCAATACAATATGTCTGTACTCACATCAGCACCCCATCCATCCATCCGCATAACAAGGGGAAAATTTGTAAGATTTCAGCCTTATGCTCCTTCTAATTACATTTCACTTATCTGTGCTAAGACAACTCTGACATTTTTGTCTCTTCCTTCCTGATAGCTGATCAATCCTTCCCACCATTTAATTCATCTAGAAGATATTTCATTGCTTTCTTTTAATAACCTATTATCTTCCCATAATTTCAGTAATTTAAGTTGGTGTTTTCTTTGGCATAGACCTGCGTCCCTTGGATCTTCTCTCTGAAGTGGTTCCCCTGAACTGGGTGAAAAGTGGAATACGAATGATACAAATCCAAGGAGCACGTGGTTTCCAGCTTTCTGCAACAAACCCTCGCTTCCTCAATTTTCCAGCATCACGGATTTTCATTTACTGTGACTTATTCCCAGAGGAATTCTCCATTGTGTTTACTATAAAAACTTCCTACATGCAATTCAAGGTAAGCATGTGGTAGATTTTATCCAAGAGCAGATTTTTTATTTATTTAAAATTAAGATCACTATGGTATTGGTGTATTTGGTTTATAATTCTGGATGTTATAACCTCATTAATTTAGCAAGCTTCACAAAATCTCTCAGGTAATTAAGTTTGTCGTAATAATGACAAGAACACCTTTAAGCATGTTTGCTTGGATGAAAGTAGACTCAAATGCTTGATAGTTCCTGTGTATTATTAACTCAAAATTATGCTGCAGCCTATAAAATTTAATTTTCAGGGCTTTAGGCAGAGGTACACATTAGTCATAGATGACAAGATATATGTGTTTATTGATTGAACTTAATTTTCAAAAATTACATCCTTTTGAGAACACAGAACTTGGAGAAACATCCTGAGGTGTAAAAGTGACTTTTCTTTTATGGACTGTGAAACTACACGAAGCAAAATTAATTAAGAATTAATCCAAAATTAATCTTTATTTATACACGAACCCCAACAGAGTCAATGAGCCTTATTTCTAAGTATATCAAATTTATTTAGGAATAACAGGAGCCATGAAAGAAGGGAAAGCAGAATGCAGTAGATTGTTACTGTAGTTCAATGTTTTCTCAACTATAGCAACTTTAAGAAGGTTGAAGTTGGTTCACACATCTTAAAGTTGTTAATATTAAAAACATTGATTTAGTATAATGTAGGTAAACTGAGAAACCTGGATCCACATCTGTTCTTGGTTTCAAGTTTGCTAAGTGATGTTGGATATTGTCTTATTTTTAGTCCAAATGAAAATATGAAGGGAAGACCCATATGATCTATGTTGAGGGTTAACAGAATAGGACAGATATAAATATATTCATAAATTCAGTATGGAATCTTATTGGTTTCCAAATTGGCTAACTAAAGTGGATTAAGTAATTAATCATATTTTATATTATTATTGTAGGACAACTATAAAAAAGAGATAGACCCACCACTGGCTGAATGACTACACTCACCCAGTGCTCACTAAAGACTTCACTTCACCTTGGGATAAAAAATGGAGTGGAAGGCCACAGGGCTTCATCCTGATCCCTGTGATATTCAACATTTTAACAATGACCTGGATTATTATCAAACGTGTGGCTGATGCATAGCTGGCAGATTGGAGCTAACTCTTTGGAGGAGACACAGAAAATTCAGAAAGCTCTAGACCCACATAAGCCATGGGATGTAATAAATAGGATTATATTTAACAGGGAGAAATATACTATTGTACATCTTGGTAGAAAAAATGAAAGGCACAAATATTGCATGGAAGACAATCTGAAAGTATGAAAAGTATCTGGTTATCCTATTTGACTGCAAGTTAAACATCAGCCAACAGTATTAAAAGGCTTTTTTTTTCATCAGATACATTCAGAGGAGCATCAAATCTAGATCATGGAAAGTAATAGTTCCATTCTGTTCTGCCCCTAGCTGCCCCACTTGAAATATTGTTAGTTCTGTCCATTCAAAGTGGTGAACATATCCAACACACCTTCCTCCAATTTTTTTCCACAACAGCAACCCTGTAAACTAGTTGAGCTGAGAGCGAATGACTGGCCAAAGTCACCCAGCTGGCTTTCATGGCTAAGGCAGGACTTGAACTCACATTTTCTTGCTTTCTAGCCTGGTGTCTTAACCACTGGACCAAGCTGGCTCTAAATTATTGATAAAATGTCACAGTTGGCTTAACTCTAACATATTTTTTCCTAATGTGTTCAAAACTTTAGGAGTTTTTGAGGCATCCAATATATCTGGTCCAAACAAATAGTATACTAAATGTTTTAACAGAATGTATTACTATTCATCTATTTGGCAAATTATGTTATTTTTGCAGTCTTTCAAAGTTTTTAAAAGTACCTTTTAAAATCTATGCATGACTAGAAGTATGTGTGTGAATAAGCACAATAGTATTGTAGTATATTATAAGAGTGACTAATACATATTGATGAAATGATGAAAGAATGTTCATGGAAGAATGAGAAATTTCTAAAGAGGGATTTAATTCACTTGTAAAACATATGAATGCTTTGAAAAGCCAGCTTGTTTTGCCTTGATTAGATCCTTCTGAACTATCTTTACCCTAGTTTAATAGTTACTGTGTAGTGAAGAAGCAGAGGATACTATATTTATTTATTAACTGCACTTGTTCCTTAGGACTTGCTTGAGGGAGGCAGGAAGAGAGGGAAGGGAGGAAAGAGAGAGAGAGAGAATGAATGGCCCTATTGACTTCTGCCTCTGGTCCTACTTTAAGCTACAGGAAACAGGAAAAAGATTGTCAGTCACTATCTCAGTGAAACAGATTTTCTAAAAGTGTCCATACAACCTCTTTAATATTTTAAGATTGGACTCAGATTAAGTAATCAGAATTATTATTGAGGGTCAGTATGATGAGAATGAATTAGCACATTATTTAATAACTTATTCAGTTTATCAGTACCAACTACATAAGCATAAGAGGCAATGTTCATACAAGACCCACTATGCATTTACTACAAGAACCTACATGTACTGATATTTCATATTTAGCATGCAAGCTCTTTTATCTGATTAAAATATTTTTTTAAATAATGGAGCATTAATTCTAGCATTGAGGTTGTCTTAATATAACTGATAGTAAAGAGAAAAGAGCAATAATATTTAAGAACAATAATATTTAGCAATAATAACACTCTGATTGTTCACGATTAACAGTGTTAATAAATGAATTACTGTTTTTATCGAATTGCTTTGTATATCACAAACTTCAACATGATGCTTTGACAATGGCTAATATTAAAATATTACCATATGATTAAAAATAGCAACATAGAGATAAAATATGACCAGTAGAGCTGGTTTGGTGTAGTAGTTAAGGTATCAGGCTAGAAACAGAAGATCATGATTTCAAGTCTTACTTTAGGCACAAAGCAAAACTGGGTGATTTGGGACCAGTCATTCTCTCTCAGCCCTAGGAAACAGGCAATGGCAGCCACTTCTGAAATCTTGTCAAGAAAACTGCAGGGACTGTCCAAGCAGTTACCAACCCAAAGGCACCAGCAAACATATATTTACTGAATTCCAGTAAATTGCATCAGGGCCTTTCATATGTACACACAGTGTTTAACAAAGGTTACAATAATTGTTATATTTTTGTAATCCTCTGAGTCCAGAATCAAGGTAGCTTTACTGGATTCTAACTATGCCAAAGGTATTATAAGGAAATACTGCATTTCAGGCTAACTGGTTTCATTAACTATGTTTTCAGAGAAATGAATACATCTTCACAGTTTTGGATGAAAACAGTGACACACTGCAACTTGGACTCCGATATTCACAGAGTAAACTGCACTTTCTCTTCTGGAGCAGAGACCTTTTGAATGGTTGGCAGACACAAATTACTTTTCGGGATGTCTTTTTGGCGGACAACCAGTGGCATACGCTTGTATTGGCAGTATCTCAAGGCTCCTTCTCTCTCACTGTGGACTGCAGCATCCCCATAGATGTGTATGTGAAGCACGTACAATTCAGGGGTAATTTAACCTTAACCACCACCCCTGAGTTAGGGCTGTGAGGGGTTTGCATACCCCATCTGGGTGTTCATTTGATTCATGTTGATTTCTCTGGGAGAGCTATTTTCTCAGTTAAGTAGCACGGGTTCTTCCCCACAACTCCCAATATATCCCAAAGAAGCATCCCAATACTTCATCATGTAGAACAGGGCTGTCAAACTCCTGGCCTGTGGGCTGAATGTGTCATGCAATAGTCATGCCCACACCAAAGGGGAAAAAGCCCCGATATATCACATGATGTCATTGTGTTGACTTTGTATTTGACACCCCTGATCTAGAAAATGCAGTGGCAAATATGATAGGTAACCAAAGATTTAAGATATAGGTGTCATAATTCTGTTAGGTAATCAAGGAGCACTGATAACACATATCAATTACATTTATAGCACAGGAACATTTTTTAAGCAAGGCAAAATCCATATGAATATGTGAGTACTGCAGTGATGAATTAGCTACCCGTCCCCCCAAAGTAATCCTAATCCTTAATACCTTGAATTACAGGCATCATGTTATGCAAAGTACATTAAGTATAATCATTGTTTGGTCAGCTCAGGATTTTCAAAGAATGGCAAACAAAAAATGTTTGAGGCACATTAAAAATATAATATGCCACTAGAATAGTCCTCTCAGAGAAGATTAATTTGATTGGCAATTAAATGCAGATTATCTGACAGTTCCCACACATGCATATGAATTACTGTGCTAGCTATGTTATTATTACAGGTTTCTCAATTTTGTGAGTTCAAAAAATAAATATTTAATGACAAAGTGTACATAAAGTGTATGCAATAATAACAATACCACAAATTGTATTCTGTATGAAATTATATATATATTTGAACAAGCAAATATAAAAATGAATTCATTACGAAATGCACATTTTGTGTGAGCTTTGAAAGAATTGCAGATAGAATCAGAAAGAGAGAAGACTGAACAATGCTAGAAAATTAAGTAAAAAATAAGTTTTAAATCAGAATGCTCTCATCCTGTGTTTGATTTCATAGTTAGCATTCATGGATTCCCATAAGCTTCCTTTTTCACTTATTTTAGGATTGCAGATACTGCTTTTCCAACATTCTTGACTATGACAGGAACTCAGTTTTATATAGGAAATAGAAGAAGAAGAAAAGGTTTCTTCACTGTGAGTATAACTTCTAATGTTCATTGTTCTGAAAAGGCTATTCTAGTTACTTAGGTTACCTCTGCTTATTATATTTGGATTGCATTTTTCCCCTATCCATTTATTTTAATTTCATATATTTTTCTGCCAAAGTTTCTCCACAAAGAAGTTGCTGTTCAATAAGAGTCCATGGAATTGTTAGGTGTTCACAGTCCCTCTATGAAAATATAGTTCCCAGGATAACTTTGGAAATAGAAACCAGGATGAAATCCAGTATACAAATCAGAGCAGTTCCCATGTAGGGTTCCAAGTAGCCATAATTGTCACATAAAGCTTTTAAAGTCTACCTCACTCCCCATATTTTGTCTTTCTTTTCCAACTGTTACATACAATTCTCGAGCTCTCTTCACCAATGGTGAAATTCAATTTTTTTTTTACTACCAGTTCTGTGGGCGTGGCTTGGTGGGCGTGGCAGGGGAAGGATACTTTAAAATCTCCAGTCAGAAGTGGTATTTGTGGGTTCTCCGAACTAGTCAAAATTTCCGCTACCAGTTCTCCAGAACTGCTCAGAACCTGCTGAATGCCACCTCTGCTCTTCACCATGCTCATTTGTGTGGGTTTTTTTTTATTCAAATAAGCTGATCTTTTCTTCTCCCTACTTCCATATTAGATATAGATATTTAAAATTCTGCAATAATCAACATTGTGTTCAGACACCATAAATTTCTTAGTGTGGACAAAATTCTGCACAAGATCAAATGAACAGTTCTATTCTTCCCAGAACCCAAACTGTGATCCTATAAGAACACTGTGACTTTCCTCCATATTTCCAAATAAATTACAGATACTTCAGACAGAATGACTTGTCTTCTTTTAGGGATTACTGGTGATTTTTTTTTTGCCCATTTTTCAGATGAGTCAGCAACAAACCTTCTGAACAGATTTTGCAACAAATAACATAGTACCTTCTCTTATTAGCAATGGGAGGATGACTGAGCAAAAGATAAATGTATTTCTTCTTCTAAACTTATCTGGTCCAAGATAAGCTTGGATTTAAGAGGATAGTGTAAAAATGGTCAAAGGGAATACAAGATGGGATTTGGTGATAAGCATACAAAAGCATTGGGGAGTCGCCCAAATACTGAAACATCACTGCAAATATCACTTAAAGCCATCCAAAAGTAAAAGCAATGCGTCTGAGATTAGAAGGAAACATAGATATAAAGCATGATGGAATTGTGGAATTCAGTTCTCCTTAGATACTTTAAAACCTAACAAATACTAAAAATTTCCAGAATTAATAAATTTCCCAGAGTAGCTCATAAAATTAGGAAACATCTGTCTTCACCTGATGCAGGAAATCAATTAGCAATTCAAGCAATTCTATATCATAATAAATGTACATCCCTGAAGGTGCTAATACAATGTTACTTCTGGATAAGGCTCTCGGTGATTTCTGGTTTAAGCCTCAAAGGTTAATAATTGTCACTCTTCTATTACATTGGTTTACCTATTACCCATAAATCAGAAAGGTCTGTAGAAGCTTTTGAGACAAACAAATGTTATTATACAGCTAAAATATAAGCTTTTGTGAGCTGCAGCTCATTTCATCAGATGCATGGATTGTCTTAATTAATATACAATATAATGGGCCCAGTGGGGAAAATTGAAGGGAGAAAGGATGGTTATGCAGATGAGAGACAGATTACAATTGCCTTATCAATTAACAATGGTAATATGTTAAAGCCACTGTATTTGGTCAGACATTCTTAGATAACCTAAAACCTGGTTATATATTTAAGCTCAGTTGTTGCATGCTGCAGTAGTTTATTTATATCCAAATGGCTATTCTGAGGTCTGCAGTAGAATGTTTGGAAGTTGTGGCAATTGCATCTTCCTTAATTTGTTTTGTTCTGTTATTTTTTTGTCCTTATTTTGAATCCTGATGTTTTCTTTCCATTAATTCATTTGTTCAAAGTCTGGTTTGTTTATCCTATGTGGTGTTCAGAGGGGAATTGCTGGTAGGTGACCCATTACTCATAATGACAAGAAGCAAGTCCTTTGATCACAGTCCCAAACAAAGACCAATGCAAACATACAATGTGATTTTTATAAAAGATTTAGCAACGCAGCTTTCTGGCCCAACCTTGTATTTTGTTTTGAAAAGCTGATCTCTGCTTTCAAGCATATGAAGCAATAGAAAGATAATGCCTTTTAATGCATAAACAATATTTTTCACTCATGGTCTCACATTGTGGAAATAGGGATTGATTTTAAGTCAGAGGTGTAGCTTTTAGGCTGACTTTATCCTCCTCCATGTCCTCTGTGGAAAATCATCAACTATTGTCCCCACAAGAGTTTTTGATATTTGATTCCCTAGTTTTTCTTCCTCTCTTTTCAGGGCTTGATAAGGCAGCTAGTCCTCTTGCCAGGATCTGATGCCACTTCAAGGATGTGCACTGGCATGAATGTTAATCTAGCAGTGCTGTCCATTCCCCAAATTCTGCAGGATCTGCCTGTGAAACCTGCGGGCAATGAGCTGCTGAAATACCCTTACGGTTAGTAAAATAAAACATAGTTTTCAGGTAGTTTGTTCTCCAGCTTGTATTCAAAATTACATACAAGAAGAACAATGTAATTATACCAAGATGTCTGGAAAGAGGGAAAAGCTTTATTAGTGATAGAAGTTGGTTGATATCTGGAGTAAAGCCCTACTAAAATCACTGTTGCATTCTGAATCAGCTGACAATCTGTGTCACCCTTACATAAAGCACAGCACAGATATTAAAAGCAGTTATTCAAGACACTACACAACCCTGGCTGATCTTTAAAAATTTAAGAAGAGTTACTACTTGGCTAGTTCTTGCATGGGCCACCACTAGGAGAATCCCTGGGTTGTAAGCAAGACTGGGGAGTGAAAAAAGGGAAAGGCAATGGTAAACCACTTTTGCATTTTTTTTTGTCAAGGAAACTACATGACATTAGCAGTCAGGAGTTCAGTTTGGCTTGAGTGCAGCTTTACTTTTATCACAGTGCTTAAATCTCTTTTCCCAGAACTGTAAGAAAAACTTTGGGTGGTAAAAAATAATAGCTATAGCTATTACAGGTGATGGTGGGGGATCCAGAGTATTTCCAGGTAGAGGCTTAAGTTATTTACTGTGCTAAGACATGGATTGTTTAACCACAATAAATCATAACTGACTGATTCAAATAGTCTGTTAAGCCAAAGCCTATATGAAGCCAAAACCAGCAAACCACAATAAGGTTTAATGTTGTATGAACAAAGCCTGTGTATTTCCTGCAATGTCCTAGTTCTACTGGCATAAATTGAAATTCATGGCTGACATAAATTCAGAAATATTCCCCATCCCTGATGTAGCTGGTTTCTTCCTTTCATCCCTCCATTTCTCCCATCTGCAATGCCATACAGCCTGAATTGAACTTCAGAAAATTGACTGCATTGCAGGATTTGAGGAAGGACTGTTATTCGCTTAAGATCAGAAAATCATATCCTCAGATCACCTTCTCCCTTCATTTCATGTAGCAAATAAGTACTTTGAGAATCAGAAAAGCACCTCTGGGAGTTCTTAGGATAACATCCAAGGTATTGAACTGCACTCCCAAAACATAACTGTTCAGGAAGACTAGCTGCCATTGATTATAAAACATTAACATTAAAGCACATCGGATAATAAGACTAGGATTCTCTGTATGTGTACATAAAGATATATAGCTGCAAGGAAATCTAAATGAGTACTTGTTGAAAGCCAGGAACCAGAAAGGAAACAAAAGAATTATATGCCTATCATAATTGCTAAGAACATCAGCTATTGTTTTCCTTGGCACCTTTTAGAACTTAAGTCAATTTATCTTAGTTTTATGTTCATTCTTTTTGTCATGAGGACTGGCAATCACAAGCAATGCTAGAAAACTGAAAATTAACATTCTAGGCCTATTTTGCACATGTTGTTTTTTCATCACGGAGAGAATTTTCATGTAAGGAAAGATCAATATATCCTTATGTGTGAAATGGATGTATTTGTCTTGCTTCAAGAACCTGGGTTTGGAAGCCAGTGCTGCTTCTCCAACCTTGTAATTGCAGCAAAACAAACAGGCCAATTCCACACCATCCGGTGCAATTTGTTTTTCTAGATGGAACTATTTCCATCTAGGAACTAGTTCACAAAAATTGTATCTGTAGAATCAGAATGAATGGAGTTTCATTAGAAGATAATTATCTGAGGTGCCTGTTGAATTATGGCTATGCTGAATGATTTTAAGGATTGGATAGAGGGAAGAAGAGGATCAAGGAACTAAAACCCAGATTCATATTGATTGTGTTCATATGATATAATTTACATGGTTTACTTGACTGTAGTTTCTTTTCTCGCTGTGTAGGATATAGTTTGCATTTAAACAATATTTTAGGCTAGCTCATGTTTGGTTGGTTAGCGGTTTTATATGTTGAGAGACCATGACTTTAAATACTATACTTAGTCCAACCTTTATTGAAGTCATTGATTCAAAGGGCAATGTAGAATTATAAATGATAGGTCACCCAAATATTCTCAAAATCAGTTATTTTGACATATATACATCAGAAAGAATTACATTAGTATTTTCTTAGGAGAATTTGAACATCCATCTTCTGGTGGGGAAATCTATTTGCACTCTCCTCTTCTCTTTCTCCATCTCTCTCTCTCTGTTATTTTTTTTAATGTTGAATGTTAAACTAATTCTTGCTTACTAAAGCTCAGAAAACCAAAATATATATGTTATTGAAGTAGATATGTTTATTACAGCAGCTAGAGTAGTTAAGGTAACTGGTTAAATCAGGATATATTATAATTGCCAGCAGCAAACAAAGCAGGAGGAAAAAAAACCATAATTTTAAATCTGTATAGATTGTTAATAATGCTTAGTAGAAAAACTTATTGTGCTACCTATACCAGGAAATATTCTAAAATCAATAGGTCTATCTAGACATCGTTAAGTCTAGGTTCATCCCAATATGCAGATAATAATCCATAAAAGTCGAATAAAACTTGAACTTTAATTTTTAAAATATATTTCCAGAGCATTCAGAGTTATTTTATTTGTTTGTAGAAATACAGCAAAAGTGTTCTCTGAAAAGTATATTTCTGTTTAACTGTGAATAATGTTGTAAAGTGATATATTCTGGGTTTGTGGTATGCAGTAAGTAGTCCTACACCATGATAATATTTCTTACAAAGTCAGAGCAAATCTTGATCTGATCACATTTTATTTTTGTTGATGTTCAGAAGCCGATATGAAGCTGACTTTGGGTTCTCGCCCTCCTTGCACCAAGACTGAAAGTGGCCAATTCTGGTTAAACATTGTTCGGAAGGGACTACATCTCTGTACTGGGAATGAATGGATTTCCATGCTAGAAGGTGAAATGCTTTCTGGATATTGTTAACCTATGGATGCTTTGATTTTTTAATAATACTGGTTTATGGACTGAAAATATTTTCCTGGAAATCCCAAAACCAAATTCCCTTGTCTGTTATGTTATGTAAGTTAACATTACCAATTTCAACAGTAAGCAACATGGAGAAAATTCAAATGAAATTATCCTGCACTCTGAGTATAACATAGAAAAATGGAAGTTTTTCTGCAGTGTAATTAAACAGTTTAGAGATTGCATTAATAAGAAATTCTGATGATAATACACTTGCCAAGAAGGAACATAATTAATTTAAATAAGGTTTATGAAATGGGGTATGATCCTGTGAGTACAGTGAATAACTATTTACTTGGATTGAATAATTTTGAATAAAATCATACAGAATGAGTGAATGGGTTTGAAAGAGAATTTGAGGCCAAGATATACTGTAAGCTCAGTGAAAGAAGAATAGGAAATACCAGGATTAGTTACTCTGCTGGATCAACATTTCCATAGCATTGCCTTGATAGAGACAATAGGTTTCCTTGTTCCCTGTCATTTTCCAGTTGAAGAAAGATTGGACTATTTGGAAGAATACCAGAGATTAGCTACAAATTCTGAAACCTTGGGAATTGAGATCTTTGTCATCCCTATGGTGGGTCTTTTTGTAGCTACTGCTAATCGCTTCACTCCTCCTGGATCAGCCATTTATAAATGGATTGATGAAAAATTTGTGCCTTACCAAAATCTCCCCACCTATCAAGCTCAGTCCTGGGAATTCTTCACTGTGGGAAAAAAGGTACCGTGTAAAATACTCTTTTATTTTAAATTAACTATTCTTTTATTTAATATGAGTGAATCAAAGCTGTTGTTGAATAATTTTTATAAAGCTAGGCAACATAGGAGTTGCATTTCTGCGATGGAAAACAATTGCAACAAATTAGAGTCTTAATTTTTATGGGAAACTTACTGAAGATGTTGAGGATCAATATTCAGAAGGGCATAGTACTAAACTGATGCAGTAGAGAGAACTGAAAAATAACAGATAACAGATAATCAGAGTTGGAAGGAACTTTGTAGGTCATCTAGTCCAACTTCCTGCCCAAATGGGAGACCCTACACGAGGGGTAGGATTCAAATTTTTTAACAACCGGTTCTGTGGGCATGGCTTAGGTGGTGGGCGTGGCTTGGTAGTCATTTGACTGGATGGACATGGCTTGGTGGTCATGTTACTGGTTGGGCATGGCCAACTCAACATCACTCACATCAAGGCACGCATCTCCTCACCAGGCCTCTCATGACTGTGGGGATGCTGCACCAGTCATAAGTGTGAAAAATGGTCATAAGCCGCTTTTTTCAAAGGTCACTCCATACAAGCAAAGTACCAGCAAAGGAGGGGAAAAAAATCTCCAGAGAAGTTCCAGAGACAGGAAGTCTAGTCCTGCCAATAATGTAATAAGGGTTAACGGAGAGGCAGTTTCTGTAAGCAACACCAGAATGTTTCCTTCCTGCCTTCCTTACAGGATTAGGCCAGTAATTTCTTCTAACAACCGGTTCTAGCGAATTGTTGCGAACTGTTAGAATCCCACCCCTGCCCTACACCATTTCTGACAAATGGGAGTCCAATCTCTTCTTGAAAGGCTCAAGTAATGGCACTTCCACAACTTCTGAGGGCAAGCTGTTCCATTGGTTGATTGTTCTCATTTGTCAGAAAGTTTCTCCTTATTTCCAGGTTAAATCTCTCCTTGTTCAGTTTCCATCCATTATTCCTTGTCTGGCCGACAGGTGCTTTAGAAAATGGCTTGGCCCCTTCCTCTCTGTGGCAGCCCCTCAAATATTGGAAGACTGCTATCATGTCTCCCCTGGTCCTTCTCTTCACTAGACTAGCCATGCCCAGTTCCTGTAACCATTCTTCATATGTTTTAGTCTCCAGTCCCTAATCATCCAGGTTGCTCTTCTCTGTAGTTTTTCTAGAGTCTCAACATCTCATTTATAATGTGGTGACCAAAACTGGATGCAGTACTCTAGGTGTGCTCTTACTAAGGCTTTATAGAGTGATATTAGTACCTCACTTGATCTCGATTATATCCCTCTATTAATACAATTTAGGATTGCATTAGCGTTTTTGGCTGCAGTTGCACACTGCCGATTGTCCACTAAGACTCCAAGATCCCTTTCACAGTTACTGCTATTGAGCCTGGTTTCATTCAGTCTATATGTGTACTTTTGGTTTTTCTTGCCTAAGTGTAGGACTTTACTTTTCTCTATATTGAATTTCATTTTGTTAGATATGGCCCAGTGTTCCAGTCTGTCAAGATCTATCTGGATCTTGAGCCTATCTTCTTGGGTGTTAGCTATTCCTGCCAACTTAGTATCACCTGCAAATTTGGTAAGTTCCCCTTCTATTCCCTCATCTAAGTCATTAATGAAGATATTGAAGAGTACTGGGCCTAAGACGGAATCTTGTGGCATCCCACTGTTTACTTCCCTCCATGTAGACTTAGACCCATTAAGGACTACTTGTTGAGTACGGTTTGTCAGCCAGTTGCGAGTCCATCTAGTGGTGGTGTTATCTATTCCACCTTTTTCTAGCTTACCAAGAAGAAGATTGTGGTCTACTTGGTCGAATGCCTTGCTGAAATCTAAATATATTATGTCCACAGTATTTTGCTGGTCTTCTAATTTAGTCACTATGTTGAAGAATGAAATAAGATTGGTTTGGCATGATCTGTTCTTAACAGCTCTGTGCTGACTGCTAGTTATTGCTTTGCTTGTTTCTACATGTTGGCAGATCTGTTTATTATCTTTTCCAGTATCTTCCCAGGTATTGATGTTAGGCTGATCCGTCTATAGTTTCCTGGGTCTGTTGTTTTTCCTTTTTTGAAGATAGGAACCACATCAGCTCTTTTCCAGTCCTCTGGTAGTTCCCTGGTGCTCCAGGACTTTTGAAAGATATGTTGCAGTGGTTCTGAGATGACCTCTGCCAGCTCCTTTAAAACTCTGGGATGTAATCCATCAGGCCCCGGTGATTTGTGTTCATCAAGATGTTCTCTTACTATTTTTTTTGCTTATTTTAACTTTTATTTCTGGTCTGTCTTTTACAGTTATGTTTCTGGTGGGTTGAGCTATAGTTTCTTCTTGCATGAAGACTGATGCAAAGAATGAGAAGTAGTTCTGCTTTCTCTCTGTTGCCTGTTACTTCCTTGCCATCTTCTCTGTTAGTGGACCGACTGTTTCCTTGATTTTTTCTTGTTATTTATATGTTGGAAGAAACTTTTTTTATTATCTTTGACTTTTGTCGCAAGTCTTTTGTTTTTTTGTACTTATCCTTTTTTTTTTCAATTTGCCAGTTTTCAATTTTCTTTCAATCAAGCACTGATAAAGGTTGGTTAGCAGAAACAAATCTATGACCTATTCAGACTCCTATTTAAAAAAAAACAACAACTATGAGAATAAAATGAAGAGACCCAGAGCTCTTGGCTAGGGAATGAACATCAAAATAAAAAATATATAAAGGTGGTTCTCAACTGTCACAATTAGGACCATGATTTCTGTTGTTAAGCAAGGCGGTTGTCAAGTGAGTCATGCCTGATTTTATGGCTTTTTTGCCAGGATTATTAAGTGAATCACCGTAGTTGTTAAGTGAATCATGTGGCCATCAAGTGAATTCAGCTTACCTCATGGACTTTGCTTGTTGCTAAATGAATGTTTGGAAGTCGAGAATTACCTATACAAATAAATAAGGTTTTCCTCTAAGAAAATCAGAATAGAGCTGAAGGGACCTTGGAGGTGTTCTAGTCCAGCCACCTGCTCAAGCAGGAGTCCCTATCCCATTTCAGACAAGTGACTGTCCAGTCTCTTCTTAAAAACCTCCAGTGATGGAGCACCCACAATTTCTGAAGGCAACTTCTGTTCCACTGATTAATTGTCATCACTGTTAGGGAGTTCCTCCTTAATTCCTGGTTGCTTTTCTCCTTGACTAGTTTCCATCCATTGTTTCTTGTCCTATCTACAGGTGATTTGGAAAATAAGTTGACCCCATCTCCTATATGGCAGCCCCTCAAACACTGGAATATTGCTATCATGTCACACCTCTTTTCTTTAGACTAGCCAAATCCAAATCCTGCAGCCGTTCTTTATATTTTTTAGTATCCAGGCTTTAATGTGCATTCAAGTATCCACTTCTCTGATGTTTGGCAGTTGTGTTGGATACACGCTCCATTATTTTAATCTTTTAGTAAGATGAACTGGTCTGCAACCTCAGTTGGGTGGACAAGTTGTAAGAGTATTCTAAAACTGCCTCTGTTGGATTGCCTCATTATTACCTACTTTGGCTTACCTTACTGCCGTCTCTATTTGTTACTTTATTGTGAGGGACTTTGAGAATATTACCTGAATAGCCTACACCACAACTATTTAAAAAGAAATGAAGCAATAGATGCTGGAAAACTCTATTCTGCTTAATTTTCAAACTGTTATTTTGTCGAGTGGGGAGTTTTCATGAAAAGGAATCAGAAAAAAAAAATCAATTATGGGTGCACCCTTTTGATTTCAGCCAAAATCAAGAACAGGGAGGAAGAATATTTTGGTTGCCAAGACTAAGATATGACATGTGGGGGTGACGAGCTAGTCTAAATGAATGAGGCTGGACTATGCATATGGCTGAGCCATATTACATGGTTAGTGAAAAAGGCTTATTAGACATTTTTTTCTATTTTATTAAATTGTGTATCAGAGTGTGAAATAGTTTATATATTCATGTGTTCCTCTGCTCAAAATATATTTGGTTCAGAAACTGATCCATTTAAATTGTAACTGTAAAATGTACATGTTATTTCATAACAGTGTAATTATTATGTAAGGGACACTTAAGATGAACATTTTTGAAGATACAGCTGTTCTGTCTTCCTATTCCTCCAAATACTGTATCTATGATGATAAAAAAGCATTGGAGAATTCATATTCAGATCTGGCCTACTTTGGAAATTTGATCCAGATGCCTAGTTATTGAAATGACTCAACCAAATTTGGATAAAAATTATATATAGCCTTAAATGCATCTCCCGCTATGTTATTGCAAGGTAAATTCATATTATGTTAAGTATTAAGTCTACACTTTTTGTGCTTGTGATTGTTCTGTGCAAAATGAATGTCTAAATTTCTTCCTTGCTTTTCAGCTTTTCCTTGTAGTGGCTAATCTTGATCAGAATCCAAGGGGTCATGAGTTTTCTATAATTTATAAATGGAACTACAGAAAAGAGAAATTTACTGTGTTCCAGAGGATTGCCACTCATAGTGCTAGGGATTGGGAAGCATTCGTCATTGATGGAGAGACCTTTCTTGCTGTAGCTAATCACAGAAAAGGTATCCGAATACTAATGCTTAATCTGAATATGAAAATTTCCTTTCATTTTTCATTAACATTTCTTACGACTGGAATTTTGTCATTTTTATTGGCAGAAGATTTGAACCTTTAAAGTTTATAACTACACGGAGAGGCAGTGATAGGATACCAGCCTGAATGGGTTGTAAAAAAGCAACCATCTGGCAAACTATACTGGGTTGATATAGTAAATTACAGTCTATACTCTTCATCCTGCAGTGGATTGATTCATATTGATAATACTATTATTATTCAAATGATGAAAATGGATGCAAATAATATAACCTTGGTTTTTTTTTTTTTAGTAAACATTGAGATTTAATGGATGTCCCCTAAATAATGCAATGAGTTAGGATTTTACTATATTTATGTCTTTCTATCTTAACCCAACAGCTAGTTTGGCAAGGTACGGTAGTTAAGATTCAGACTAGAAACTGGGAGACCGTAAGTTGCTTTGGGCATGAAGCCAGTTGGGTGATCTTGGGCCAGTCACTTTCTCTCAGCCTAAGAAGGAGGCAATAGCAAATCACTTCTGAAGGGCCTTGCCAGGACAACTGTAAAGATCTGTCCAGGCAGTTTTGTAGACTGTAAAGACCTATCTAGAGAAGTGGACACAACTCGACAAAAGAAAACAAAATCCTACTTTATAAGACAGCATTCAGAAACATGGTATCTGATTCTGGAGGCAACATATAATTGTCATGATTTATAGTCAATGGCAGCTTTACTCTCAAACAGTTTGTCTAATCTGTTTGAAATAAATTTGCTTGGAATACAAGTAGAATCAATTGAAATAAAAGAGAAATTTTGTTTGTGGAACTATCCGATTTCCGAAATAAGAATGTACTGCCACCAAGTGGTCTGCTGACATATTATCATGTAAAAGGAATTGTAATGTCTTCTAATCAGATTTATGTACTTAAAAATTATATAGCTATGAAAAATGTTAATTCAGTTTTATGAAGTAAGCAAGAATGATACTAACATAGAGTGTATTATATCCATCAGTTACTAGCTATTATCCCTATTATTTTTACAGAAACAAATAAGTTATGGGAAATGATTACAATATTTTGCTTAACAAATTAAAAAGTTTTAACTCTAATCCTGCGTGCCATTTTTTTTCTTGCCTGTCACTCATGTTCCTTTTTCCTTGCAAACCGCTATATGTTTGAGAAACAGAAAAAACATTTCCATTTTTAAATTAGCACTTAATTTACAAAGTTGTCCACAAAGAATGGTATTTTTCTTGGAAAGACATTAGTCTATATAGACTGAAATAGCAATAGCAGTTAACTTATATATCACTTCTTAGTGCTTTACAGTCCTATCTAAGCTGTTTACAGAGCCAACATATTTTCCCCAGCAATCTGGGTCCTCATTTTACCAATTTCGGAAGGATGGAATGCTGAGTCAACCTTGAGCCAGTGAGAATCGAACTCCTGGCAAGTCAGCAGAATTAGCCTGCAATACTGCATTTTAACCACTGCATGACTCTTTTTAACATCATGTTCACAAAACTGAGAATTGTCTGGTTCCTCTTTCCCTCTTCCTTCTTCTGTTTCGCCACTGGCTCTGGAGAAGATATCTAATTGTTCATTTACACATTTAAATTTATGGTTTGTTACTAAGTCACAACTTAGATATCCCTGACTAATTTAAACCTGTGAGCAAATGGAAGAGAACCTGAAAGTATGCTTTTAAAAGTAACCAAGATACATTCTGGCTTTTCATTTAAGAGTAAACCACTGTTTTCATTACATGTATCATTCTTCTTTTCTTCTTTTTATTTTTCATTTCCAAGTTCCGGATTGACTTTCCTCATCAAATTAATTTCAAAAACTCAAATAAAATGAAGGTAGTAATAAATATTTCAAATATCAGTGGTAGTCTTATGTTTGTGCATCTTTCAACTTTTCCTGTTTTACCATGTTTCTATATCACGTCCATTCAAATTATTATTTCCTTACTCTTCTCTAGGAGATAACCACAATATCAATAGTGTCATATATAGATGGAACTCTAAAAGAGGGATTTTTGAAGCTAATCAAACTATTCCTACTTCAGGAGCCTATGACTGGGAATTTTTCACTATTGGTCCTTATTCCTTTCTGGTGGTAGCCAATACATTCAATGGAACATCGACCAAGATTTATTCTAACATCTACATTTGGCTCAATGGGGGTTTCCAGCTTTTCCAGTCAATCTTGGTAAGATATAACAATGGAAAAACCAATTTCTTTAAATGCTTAGGAAAGTTCTGATCAAACAATTACATTTTTATCCATTGTACATAAACATGCATAATGGGGGATGTGGATTGTATGTAGAACAAGAGCTATGTTCTTTAGGCTGTTTCTATTTGCTTCTACCAAGTTCTGTTCAATGTCACATCCATAAGAAAGTCAGATTTCCCACCCACCCCACCATTGCTCAGCTTTATTTTTATTTACCTTTTTTATATTCTATTTTTAAACATTGTTTGTTTACCTATCTATTTTAAGGTCATTCTGCTGTTTTCAAATGATTTGTTTCATATGACAGTGTTTTAAAACATACTGGCTATCAAGGGAGCCCTTTATATATGAATCACAATTTGTAGCTACCATAGTTTAATAAATTAAATAAATGAATAAATATATCTGGAATTTGGAATCAAATACTGTTACATAGAGAAAAGTATGTGATTATAATTCTTTCAGTAAGAATAGGTACACGCAGAATTAGCTAAGTTTATGTGGGTGAAAAAGTGACTTAAAGGAGCATGTGTACTTTAATTGCTTGAATAATTACTCTACCACATTGTCCTCTTCCATTACACTGAATTTCTTAGGTTGCTGGCCAGGCTGGTGTTGGTGTGGAAATCTTTCCCTAGTGTCTGGAAAAACTGTTGGATGAACAGAACAAGCTGAAGATGAATCAAAGCAAGATAGTGTTAGTCCATCATAATTCTCAGTTAGCTCCAAAAGTGTTTTGAGGGAGGAAGCACTACTCCTGGGACAGTAGGTCTGCAACTTGGGCCTCCTCCTGAATTCACATTTACTTCTGGGTGGTAGATGGAGACTTGAGGCCAGGATGGTCTTTTGTTTGCTGTGATTGGTGTGCCAGTTCTACTTTGTTCTAGAATGTGAAAAATGTGTGATTATAACTCATGTGTATTTATATTATTGCAATGCACTCTGTATGAAACTGAAACCATTGTGAAACAGAACTATATAGGTCACTTACTGGCAGGTCGTGGCCTTTGGAAATATATAACATGTGGATACTGTACTTCTTATCAATAAATTTCCAGTACAATTCAAAGCGCTGTTTTTGGACCTATTTATATTTCATATTTGCAAAATGATCTGGTCTGGTATGGTCTGAAATAATCCATCCTAACACCCAGGAGAGGCTACTGGATGTTTACCACTTCCATAATGTGAGGAGGCCTTAGGCCACTGTTTCTAGTTATAGTCCCAATGCCATGAAACAACTTCTACTCTTCCAGAGAATCTGTTGTGCTTAATACTTTTTGCCATCATTATTATTTGGGATATTAAACATTGTGTATTAGAGTGGCTAATGAAGTTCCATCCAATTATTATAACTGCAGTAAGATTTAATTATTGTAACTACTTCTTAGGTTTTAACTGTATTTGTACAGTTGTTTCTATTATAAATTGTCATGAATCTTTGGTAGAATTAAATGGGAAATTTCAGTCCTAAACAAAATAAATTATCCAGATACGATTCAGAAATGAAGGAGAAAGGCTGGCAAACCACATTTATAATATTTTTGAAGAAAAATAACATATGATAAATCCATCCCGAATCACATTTAAGTGAATCTATTCTTAACCAGAAGTTAGCACCCAGCCAAACTTCTCTCATCTCAAAAAAATTAAATAAATAAATTAAATTAAATAAAAAATTAAATAAATTAAATAAAGTCAGCCCTGGTTGGATGGGAGCTTAGGAAATCACAATGTTCTGCACTAGACTGAGAAGCTTTTTAAAAATACCAAAAGGAAAACAATTGAAGATTATTGTCGAGAAAGCTACTGGCCAGAAAGACATGTTTTATCTAGAAGCTGAGTTCAGCTAGTAAGAGTTTTCACTCCTTTTTTTTTTTTTTTTTACAAATAGCAATTTTCTGTTGTTTACTCCTTATCACGAAATTTAAGGTTGTGGGTCAAGTACAACAGCAGTTGTTCAATAATAGAAAAACAGCCTGAAGAAAAGACATCTGTTCCTTTTATAGTCAAATAATCTGGGGATTACCATTTAAAAAAACATAACATTTGTACAAGCTGTTAATTGAAGCAGATACTTAGTTAGTCTAGTATGCCAGATTGATTTTTGGAGAGAAAGGCAAATCCTCTAGACATCTCCTCCTCATGCTGAGTCAGATTATAAAGTATGTCCTTCTACAGATGTGTCTCACTGAAAGTCTCTTTTTCTTCCTCTCTTTTTCTAGACTTTTGGTGCTGCTGACTGGGAGGTCTTTTACATCCAAAACAGAGTTTTTCTTGCTGTGGCAAACAGTCATAGTTATGACAGTAGCACTCTACCACCGATCAACACTTTTGCCATTAATTCTTCCATCTATGAGCTTAACATCACAGCACAGTTATTTGTCAAGTTTCAGGACATCCCTACATACAGGTGCCTTTTCTGAGTAGTGTTCAAAACATCAGCATGGGGTTCTTTCAGTAGAAAAATGCTTCCAGGAATGTTTGAGTTTGTTTTTGTATTCTAAAAACACATCTAAATATTTTCTTATTAGAAATATATAATAGAAACACTAACATTTTCCTTTTTTTTTTTTGAAATTATACTGATCTCAGAAATTGTGGCACCTGTTGCCTTCCCCTCCCCGCTCCCCCCAGTTCTAATATAAATGGAAACAGGGTGTGTTCATCACTGATTCTCTGACTTTTGCAATATTTTCCTATTTGGTTTGTTCATGTCACAGTGCTTTAGACTGGGAATTCTTTTCAGTGGGAGAAGACAGCTTTTTGGTTGTTGCAAATTCCTATGATGGTGTGACCTTCTCTGTAAACAGTATTATTTACAGGTAAGTAATCAAGAAAAAAATGCCTCAGTTTTGTCATATTGGAGTCTTTAAAAAAAAGACAAAACAATTAGAAATGATTGAATCCATATTAATATACAAAGTATTAATCTGTATAGGAAGAAAGGATATACTGAAGATTACTATTCTGTCACTCTATCTATTCTTGATGCTAAATAGCAAATATCCAGATTAAAAGAATTAGGTACAATTAGAATAGATTTGGTGTTTAGCTGCTCCTGAAACTTCCCTTATAAATTACTTCTTCTTGTACCTACATGAAAAGCTTTTGAAAATTACTTTGGAAAACTCATTTTTCAGAAGAGAAACTAAACCCTGGCTCATGCACCTAAGCTTTTTATTTGGTAAGCAAAAGGTTAACTTTTCCCTTTTTCCTTTTTTAAAAATAAAAGTATCACATTTGATGTTCTCCATTCTGTCTCTGTGTACACATACGCACATTATGTTGGCTTCTGCAAACAGATTTTAGGTGGGAAGACGGGTGCTATAACTGATGGGTGTGGCACATGTAGTTCAGTGCTAGTCTGACTTCCAGATTGTCAGTGTGCAGTAGAATCCATATCAGAAAACCAACACTTACTTTGGTTAACTAACTATTCAAAGGAAGGAGGAGAAGGGAAAAAAATCTCCCCACACTTCCTACTTGCCCCTTTAAATCCTCTACTAGGAATTGAAGGCCATAGAATAACAGCTGGTTTGAACCTCACAGAATAACATCTGGTTATCTAAGTCTGATGAGTCCCTAAAGGAGAAAACTGTCTTGTAATAATCTGCCTTCTAGTGATCAGTGAAACTGAAAATCCTACCCAGGATATACAATGTACTGTGTAAAAAATTTGAGAAACCACCTTCCAAAAAGAGGGGTAGGAGTCATATAAGGCTCATTACATGCAAACATGACATGAGGGGGCATTCATATTTCTTTACTCTGAGAGATTTAAGGAAATGGGCTGTATATGCATTCTGATTACATCTGTTCTATAGCTTTGTTAATATAAATTTACTATGTGCCTGTAGGGAGGAAGTTTGGTATTTAAGTGAGGAGTTCTGTACTGGGGGGAAAAATCAATAGTTATTCAGTGAGAAATAGATACAGATGATAAGAGTTGCTGGAGGCCAGAAAACACCTGGGAGCCCAGCCCAAATAAATTTAGTTTAAGTAATTCCATATTTAAATTATCTGTATTATCTGTATGATAATAAAATAATCTTGAACAAATAATTCACTGCTACTGAATATCAGGAATAGTCATTATGATGTCTTCTAGACCAGGGGTATCAAACTTGTGACTCATGGGCCAGATGCATCACACACTGGCCACGCCCACACCCATTTTAGGAAAAGGGAAAAAGCTGCAATACATCATGTAATGACAACATGATGCTGCAGGTTTGATACCCCTGTTCTAGACATTTGGAACAGTCAGGTCCAATCAATACAGCCCAAACCCAAAGGACTGTAAGTGATGTAGTCATAATAATCTGGAAAACACCAAGTTGCTTATTTGTGATCTATTACATATTAGAAGTCAGATTTTTAGAATATAGCCTAAAGTTCCTAGCCACCTGGCTATTGGGCCATTTTGTTTCAAAGTTTGGGAACTAAGTACATCTCATCACATCTGGGGAATGCTAGGTTGTGGAAACTGATTTGTAGGTTATCTGAATTTACATGAAAGGACTGTTTCTCCAGTTCAATTCCTCAGTTAGAAAACAACTGGAAGAACTGGAAGAATAGCATATTATGAATAGAAAATTACAAACTGAGTAACTATTTTGTCTGCACTGCAGATGGCAAGGATATGAAGGTTTCGTAGCAGTTCACCATCTTCCAACATTTGGCTGTAGGGATTGGGAAGCTTTCAACACTACAGCTGGTTCTTACCTCATGTATTCAAGTGCAAAAGAACCCCTCTCCAAGGTGCTGAAGCTGAAATTTTTTTGACCGGAATGGAGATTCTTAAGTTTCCTGCTATAAGCAGAGAGCATGGACTTGAGAGGAATTGTTTTAATTAATCAGAGCTATAATGAAATTTGTTATACTTCAATTAATACAGCCAATATAAGAAAGAGATTATTCTGGTGCATCTCAGCTAGCTGAGTAGGAGGCTGTTGGAAATTAGATTTTAACAGATCGTTTCTGGTATTAAGTTGAATTGCATGACTGTACATTTGAGCTGGCCAAAGATATTTGTGAATTCAGAAACTTTGGTTTACATATTGAAGCCTGCCCCCATTATATTTATGAACATCATTCCTACCCTAAAATGCTGCCAATATAATTCTTAACATTAGGCAAATCTGAGCATTCATTGCTTCTGAAGTAGGACGGTGGACTTCAGAAAAGGTATCCATCTGGCATCTATCTATTACTGAAAATATTTGGGCATACAAGTTTTTGCCAACTTCTTCCACCTCCTTGTCTAAGTATCATCTACTATATCATCTACTATCATCTATTATGGGAAGAGCATAGGAATCAGAGGTGTATTCAGCAGGTTCTGACCAGTTCTGGAGAACCAGTAGTGGAAATTTTGAATAGTTCGGAGAATCGGCAAATACCACCTCAGACTGGAGATTTCCAGTATCCTTCCCCTGCATGGCCACCATGCCACGCTCACAGAACAGGTAGTAAAAAAAATTGAATCCCACCACTAATAGGAATACAACATATTTATATATGTCAGTCAATTCCAGCAACACACTCATTGTCATGAAAAGAATTTTGATGTAGATCCTAGGAGAAGTTACTAGAGGTTTTTTAAAATATGAAACTCTGTAATATATGAAATTCATGAGACCACAAAGGCCCAACTGCTTTTTTGGTTTTTATGAGCAATTTCCAAATTTGAATCTCAGGGTTTCAAGGAAAAAACGTTCTGAGAAAATTCAAAATTCAGTTACTCCTTTATTACTGGCTATCCTAGATTGCATGACATATATTCCTTATTATAGAAGGGTTGTGTCTTTACAAAAAGTATTGGATTTATTACAGCTCTTCCAGGTTTGCATTCTCCAGTTTTGCAGCATAGCTACAAGGAAAGAAAAGCCAATATTGTTTAAAAGTTTCTGTTTTAAGCTTTAGGAAATAATGCTTCTGAACTTTTTCACATGGAAAGCCCGGTACTTTTATATGGATTTATAATATCTCTGCAATAAACTCCAATCCTAGTTGACCTAGCTTTCTTAGTTTATTTTCCCATGTTAGTTTGTGAATTATAAAGCTTCTGTTTGCTGCTAGTATGTATTATTCTATTCATAAAATATTATATGTAAATTGTTGATGGTCACATTTGTTATATGGATATATAGAGGTGGAATTATTTATTATTGGGATAATATTTACAGTATCGAAAGCAGTTCCTAATAAAATTAACAGAGTGATTTGCACCATCTCAGAGATGCTGTGTCAGAGCTTATTTGCATTCAAGCTTCATCTCAGATGAAATCTAACTACAGCTACAATGTCTGAGCTACCATAATTTAAGAATCGGAGTTATCCAGTCTGGATTCAATTTGACATTTATAAAAAGTAAAGCAAAGTGACAAAATTTAAGAATTCATTTCAATACTTGCATTTACTTCAAACAATAGATGGTGAAATTATGGAATGTCATATATGTGATGTGGGACATGTGTTGAAACACTAGATGGAACAGGAATAAATGCACTGAGTAAGACAGACTGCTGTTTGCCTTGCAGTCTGCTTTGCCTATAACCCAAGGTTAGGCTGCCTGCCTTCATCTGCAATGGGGGATACTGTTATATTTTGTTCTATTTCTGGAAAGAAGTGTACAGAAATTGGAAAAGGAATACATGGGCTTAAGTCCCCAATCCAGGATACAGCTTAGTGGGTAACTCTGGGCCAGTCACTTCCTATTAGCTGAAACTACTACATGAAGACATGATAGCAGGGATAAAATGCATAGAGGAGACCCCCCCTCCTCCCCCATTCCATTTGCCATTCAATTAAAATGTCTTAGTATCAATAACCTTTTGAAGTGCTGGGTATCATCATTTGTCTCACGGGATCACCAAATATCAGCATTGAAAACTGAATGAAAAAATGAAGCTTAACTTTAAATCCTGAGAGATCCTATGCAGAATACCAACGTCTCATGAGATTTGGTGATCTTACTAATGTGAAATCTTGTTTGTCCTTTTTAAAAAACAGGTTATAAATTTCATTTTTTTTTATTCCTCAGATATCATCTAAAGCAAGGGTCTTCAAACTTGGCAAATGTAAGACTTGTGGACTCCAACTCACAGAATTCCTGAGCTAACATTACCGGAGGAGGAATTCTGGGAGTTGAAGTCCACAAGTCTTAAAGCTGTCAAGTTTGAAGACCCCTAATCTAAAGCTATTGTGAATATTCTGCCTCCTGCAGGTCCTGTGTTGTCAACCTTTGTAGTACACCAACACAATTCTTTAATCAATATATATTTTACACCCGAGAAGTAATAGTCAAAGGTCTTTCCTTCTGTTATCTCAGCATCATAACTGCTTCTTCTGTTAAGCCAAATGGTAAGCCATTTAGTTTACATTTAGTAATGTTTGATTCCATATTTTATTGTATGTTTACATCAGCATTATCAACAGATGCCTTGTAATGATTACTTGCTTTAAAATATCTATGGAGATCTCGGTCATCCAGGTCATGGTTGTCTCAAAGGTGCTTTTTCAAGAAGAAACCGGACTTTGTTTTTCTTTGAAGACATTTTGCTTCTCATCCCAGAAGCTTCTTCAGCTCTGCTTTAAAATAATTGATACATAATCCCTTGACAATATAAATGAGTGCAATGTTATAAACGAATCTAGTACTTTCTGTATCTGTTGAAGTGGAACTACTGTCACTAAATGATGGATGTCATGTAACTGCATCACTTAGTGACCATAATCCTGGCAGTCTTATTTGCCATTGCAACCTTACGACCATGTGGTCATTATGGAGGAAGAGGTAGGAATCCCAGGCAAGCAGATGATGTGGAGCACAGGCAGATGTGGGGGTGCAACAGGTGGCTGGGAGAATGGGGTGGGCAGATGCTGCAAAACCTGGATGGGTGAAAAAGTGGCCGCAAAGGGAATAACTTGAGAACTCCTGATGGCTTCCCCACTGAATTTGTGTGTGGGAAGCTGGCAGAGAATGTAGGAAATCATGATCAAACAACCTTGGCTTACTGTTATAATTATGAGCTGGGTACCGAGTGCCCAGATCTTGATCACATGACTGCAGGGAGACTGAAAAGATCAGTATCCAGAGGACCAGTCATAAATCCACCTTGGTTTGTGCCATTGTAAATTTGAGCAGAAACTGAATGAGTAGTTGTAATCCAAGTGATACCTGTAGGGTCACAGTCCAAAGCAACTTTTCATACTTATTCCAAATATTTTCAACAGCCAATGTGACTAGAGATAATGAAGCTGCAATCTATGTATAATCCTGGAAAATCTATGGAGCAAAAAGGAAAAGGCAAGCAAAATGGAAAAACAAGCGAATGATTGGGCACTTGATCTTCTACCCAAGGTTTAGTTTATGCCAAATAAGTAAAATATTCCTGATAATTTAGAGCTGTGTTGTCTGGACTTAAAAATCCAGAATATTACAAAATTGCAGCAAAGAATATCTTTTTGCTATCATCTAGTGGTATTCCAGATTTTTATGGGTAGATATAATAGCCCCATTAAATAAAATTGGGTATAGTAGGTGCTACCATGTTTCTTAGTCCAAAGTAAAAAGATCTATTCCTTTATGAAACCAGCTGGTGGCAAGCAAGCAAACGTTCTATTGGGAGAAAAAATTGGCCTGCAGATAACAAATATAATCACAATAATTATTTTTAAACCCATAGGAAAATTCTTGGTAACCAGCAGGTAGGAATTATGAGTCCTTTGTGAAGAATTAGTACTTAATTTAATTCATCTCCTTGCTCCTTCCATCTTTCTTTTTCCTTATGGGCTATATTTATTAAATTGTCAGCTTGAAGGCAGAAATATTGATTTTTAATGTTTGTATAGCACCTTTTTAATTAAGGAAGAGCAAGAGGATAATCTTTTTGATTTTTTTAAACAGTTTAAAAGGAAAAAAAATGACATTGGATGACTTTTTCAGGATTAAACTACATAATAGATGGATGCACAACCATCAGTATTTTTTAAGTTCACAAAATGGTGCAGGAATTTGTGATGCTCATTATGAGAGATGCCATAACCACATTCTACACTGAGAATTAGGAAAAAAAGAGTTGCAACATCACACTGAATTATATCCCCATAAATCAAATATTACCAGAGGACATTTACATCCTGCACAACAAATGAATTGCAATGGTACATAAACAGTAGAATAAAACTATTAATAAAAAAGGTCCCAACTGTCCTGAAATTTCTCAAAGTGTTGATTAACCAGCTGTCGCATGATGGGCCTTCAGATGTGATCACCACAAAGGGTTAATAATGCACAGAACTAAAAATGTGATCCCTTTCAATACCTTACAGCAGTTTCATCTTTTCCTAGGATCACACATAATCTATGAAAAAGGCCTTGAGGTTTTAAGGTGATGCCACATTTGTGCTCCCACATGTTCCAGAACCCTTTGGGTGAGTGAAGCTGTAGTACTGCACAACCCAACTGGATAGCTATAAAGATTAACAAATGCATCCAGTAGAAATCTATATATGTTGAGTAATTGGAACATTGTGGAGTCCTTGGATCTCTGAACGTGGTTATTTGCTTACATAGTTGTTTTATTACTTGACTAAGCAGCACTGATGTTGCCTATTTAGATAATGGAATATCAGCAAGCAAACAACCATGCTTCAAGAGGATCAAGGGCTCCAAACTTCAACCCTGATATATATATATATATATATATATATCATATTCCCAAAATATATATGATATATATATATATATATATATCATATTCCCAAAAGTAGCGATGTAAAGCCATGCTATCACACTAGAACAGCATAGCAGAGAGTCAAAGATACAATCAAAGGCTCTCAAGAGTCTTAAAATGCATAACAGCATGCAGATGAAGACTTAATTTGGAACTCTGTTTTCAAACAGGAAGTCTAACATGTTTCTGTGCCTAGAGCAGTGTGAATACTGTATAGTGTTGCTGTCAAATTTATTGCTGCCAGTAGATTCTCTTCAGTACTGACCTTGCTTTATTGAAGTCTGACAAATTCTGAAAAGGTTGGATTCAACATGTTTTTCAAACAGAATCTGTTAAGATCTCTTTCAATAGAGATTTTAACCTTAAAATCATGTAAAGAAACATTCTTAAGTTAATATTTTATTTATTTATATTTCATCTTTCTAGACTACTCATCTCCCTCAATGAGAGGCTCTTTATAACCTTCTTATTTGCTTTTTCTGTTAGCTTATTATTATATTATCTTTTCTTAGCCTGAAGATTTCTGTTCTCAGAAATTGTTCTCAGATGCCAGGACTAGGTTTTTCTCAAGTTAAAATTATTATTCATTTTTTCCCTTTTCAAATTTATTAATCCCCAGACCAGCTGCACATTTGAACCACCACTTGTAATATAAAGTAAGCAAACATAGAAATAAACAATTTCATCATTATGTATCTTGCCCCATCCTCCTGAAGGGAATCTATTCAGCTTTTTTTAAAATAACATATGCTCATTTTTTTCCTCTTTCCTTGCACCATAAGGTTTCTGGAATTAAAAATACATTTTTAATCTGATGGAGAATGAAGAAGTATGAATCCAGATACAGTATAAAATGTATCCCTTTTTAGATTTGTATCACACACACAAACATACATGTCACATATTAAATTACACCAAACTGTATGGGTCCTTGTTTGCAAAATCTATGAATTTGGCAATAGAACTTTCTGTAAGCTTGGAAGAAAGTGGTTTGTCTTTTCATTCAGAGTATTGAGCAAAAGTCAACCATGTACATATTCCATTGGCACCACGAGCACATTTGTCAGGATTATATTGCTCCATTTGAGGGTTTTTAGATTTCTCTCTTGGAATAAGATCTTGATTGTGAACTTTAGGGAGCCAAAACAAAGCATGTGCCATTCAAAGACCTTTTGGGTCCAGTATTGGAAACAATAGCTTAGAGCACAGGGAAACGGGGTTTAGACATTTTTACCATATTTATAATGTCAACACATTTTTTTACCTTTTTTACCTTTTATGAAACATTTTGTTTTTTAGAAAAAAATTAGAAAAATCCTGGCTGAATTTTCTGTATTTCATCCAACATTTTCTTCTTTAGAAAACAGGCTGTGTAGCTGAAGGTCAGCACTCCAGGCTACAGAATTGTGCTGATAGTCTCTTTAGGAACTCTTGTGCTAGGTAATGACTTCAAGTATTCCAGATGCTTCTTTGTATCCTCTTGATTATGCCGGACATAGTATACCACGTAGCTAATGACCAAGGTAAACCAGCTGAACATGGTAACAAACATGGCAACATCGGTGGTTTTCTGATGCATGTTGCAAAAGTTGATGCCTGAATCTAGGATGTGGAGCAGAGGCTTTCCAGCGTATTCCTCTTGCACAGATGTTTGGCAGGTGATCTCATTGACTGAATCAGGGTCCAGTTTCACTTCCCACAAGACTTCCTGCAAAGTACATTCACAATGCCAAGGGTTGTTGGATAAACGAATCATGGCATTCAGGTTGACCAGGGCTTCCTTTGGGATCCTCTGTATGTGATTGCCAGAGAGATCCAGCAATCGCAGGCCATCAGCCACACCCTTAAATGCTGCTGAATCGATCTTCTCAATGGCATTCTTGGAGAGATCTATTTCTTGTAAGTGGGCAAGGTGCCTGAAAGTGCTGTTGGGAACTGCAGTGATCTTATTTGCATCCAGCTTCAAAAACATGGTATCTTTGGGAATATCTGTTGGAATCTCCTCCAAGTTGCTAGCACTACACAGAACGGCAGTTGCTCCTGAATAATTGGTGCATTGACACTGTTCAGGGCAAGATGTACAACAACAGGAAGGGGTGCAAAAGAAGAGGCAGAACAGAGTTTGAGAACAAAGGAACAGCACAGGCCAAGATGTCTCAGTTGCCAGAAACATGCTGGTCATCCAATCAGTAATAGGGAATCCTGCATGGCTGCTAAGGCAAAGAAAATGAGTCTTTTTTTCTCCCTACACTCCTTTGAATTAAGAGGGCCCACAAGAGTTTCTTCAGACTCTCGGTGGGTTGATTTGCACTGAGGTCAGGTGTGTCACAGCATCAATTCACTCTTCCCATTTTCCAGAGCACAGAAAGGTGGGGAAGTAATCTCTACAGGGACAGAAATATGAATACATTTTCATCTAATTCCAACACAAAAATTAAAATTACCACCTATGATCAAACCAATGCTGATGACTCAAATATCCATGACCGCAAATTTCCACAACAAAGCCCTGATAGGTAACTAATTCTCTCTCTCTCTCTCTCCCTCTCTCTCTCCCTCCCTCCCTCCCTCCCTCCGGACAGAAGCAATTGAAGACAAAACCCTTGATGTCATTTCTCTCTCCCCTTTTCCATCATTCTCTTGTTCAAGTGATAGAGAATGTTAGTATTGATGTTGTCGCATTTTGAAAACATGTTTTTATCACTGTGAAGGAGCCCATTCTGCCTTATCCCATTCTAAAAAAAGTGGAAATAATTCTCTCTCAGGATCTAAAAGAAGCAATGGAAACTAGGGAAGTTGCAGATCAGTGGTAAAAATAAAGTGAAGCTAGGCGTGGCAGTTACTCACAATAAACTCCATGGTTACCCCCACCAGGTTCTCACCACTTGCTGCTTGCTGCTTTTTTAAATCTCCTCTTTCTCCTTTTCCTTTCTGCTTTAAAGGAATGAGGGAGACATAATAAGCGTAGAGTTCCTTACTTGGGCTGCTGCATTAAATATGACACAAGTTATAAACGACTTCATTTATCTGCCATCTGGTGGTCATCCGGAACTTTGCAGCTTATATTAGGCATGGGAAATGAGGGGAGATTCACCTAAGTCTAAGTCTAATGTGTATGTGGAGGGGGGAGGGAATGCCTTGGATGACTAAAGAGGTGACGAACCTTGCATACGTAAGAGAAATAACCACGGGGTCCTGTGTACATTCCACCTGTTTCAGCTTCATCGGCCTAGGGGGAAGCCCAACATTTCAGACCTTTCAGCAGTCAATTGCCCATCTAAGGAGTTTGTTTGGGGTTCTATTATATTCTAAAGTTGCAAGACTAACTTTAACTGAATAACTGGGAGAGCATCATACTCCACCCATGAAATTGCACCAGAGTCTCTTCTCTTTAGAAAGCATTTTGTTTAAAAAAATATTTCATCAAAAGAGAAGTTTTCTGTATATTGCAACATAGTCCTTTTATTTAAATCATATTCTGCAATCTATGGCAGCTGAACGAATAGCAATAGCACTTAGACTTATATACCACTTCACAGTGCTTTACAGCCCTCTCTAAGCGGTTTACAGAGTTATCCTATTGCCCCCAACAATCTGGGTCCTCATTTTACCGATCTTGGAAGGATGGAAGGCTGAGTCAACCTTGAACTTATCAGGATTGAACTTCTGGAGTGAGCATTGAGTTAACCTGCAGTACTGCATTCTAACCACTGTGCCACCGTTGTGATAATAGCGCAATTGTCACAACTGCTAGGGAGAAAAAAAGCCTGTTCAGTTTGGATTCCCTATATTGGGGAAAAAAAGTTTGTACTTAGTAAGGTTAGGAGACTTTTACAGGGAAAAACCATCGAGTGGGGAGCGATAAACATGATAAAGAAACAGGAAGTTGCAGAATCCTGTTTTCATTTTCTGACCTTAAGATAAGGACAGGAATTCTGCTTGTCCCCGTTTTATATGCTTGCTGAGGGTGGAGACATTCAGAGCAAGGTAGAATAGTTTTTTAGCAAGGAAAAGAGAAGGATGAAAGAAGGTAAGAATCTGTTCTCTTCGTGACTTTTCTGCCCTAAACAAACTCATCAGAAACCCTTTATTTGCTTTCTTTTGTTCTTAGTACTAGGACGGTTTTGCTGTTACATTCTTTTGAAGTTTTCAGATCCTAGGAGGGAAATCTATCATCTGAATCGTTTTCTGTTGATGGCATAATTTTTACAGTTAAGAAAATTGGCAAATAAAATGGTGTACATGACTGAAAATAATTATTAAAAAATTGACTGTCATTATATGCCAAAGATGCAAGATTAATAAGCCTCATCACCTAGTTGCCTCCCAAAATCATAAAAAGGACCACAGAATTGTATATGTTCTGTGCCATTTTAACCCTAATGGCTTCTTCTGTAATGGATGCAGAAAATTTTGTAAAAGATCTTTAGTAAGCTGGCCACAGAACTGCAATCCCCAGAGTTCCCTGAGGAAATTGGCAAATTGAAAAATCATTTGAATTCTGTGATATAAATAGGCCTTTTGGGGGCTCAGCTACAGCCACTAATTTGGGTTTTGAAAATCTGGATTTTTGGGTACTGCCTATATGCAACCAGCTGTGGCTCTTAGGATCCTGCTGGTTGTAGTGACAGAGGAAATTTCTCGCGTAGGAGGGAACCCTCTCTATCCCTCTAAGAATGCTTCTTTCTCCTTTTCAACCTTGCCATAACCTATTGCCTAAGATGAAGCTTTCAGCCCTCGGGCGAGCTGGGGAAGACAATGTAGGCAAGCAGATTTTCAAACCTTTGAAGCACTGTGACATGACAAGCAGCACATCTGCTGTCTTTCCCCAAACTATTAAAGGTACATGAGTCATAATGTTGAACATTGGCAACCCCTGCTCTAAGCATAACCGGCAAAGCTGCTAATCCTAATATGCTTCAGGATGTAAATATGACACTAAATTTAGCTGCAGTCTCCACCTATATCTTCCTCCCAGAGTTTCAACCATTATGTCAAAAACAAGAGCAGCACAGATGCTGGACACCTACCTAGTTACAGAGCAAAACACCCCACACCCCACCCCCAAAAATTGGATTCTTGGATTGAGCCTATTGAAAAAAAAATCCATCTAGTCAGCTTTAGCCACTTCATCATGCAAATATGCCAAATCTGCCCTATTACCACTGCCTTCTCTTCTCCCTTTTGGCCATGATACCTGGACTGAGGTCAGCTGACTCTCCTTTTACCTGAGGATCCCAAGTTTCTTCCTCATCCAAAGCTCAGGAGCTCTTGCTCTGCTTTCTCTTGCCACACCCTTGCCTGGATGTGGGTGCAGTTCAGAGCAGAAGCAGCAGCAGTGAAGACTTGCAGCCTGCACACAGCACTTGTTGCTGCCGTCCTCTTCCCATCAGTCGCACACAAAGCCATTCATGGCAAATGCTGACTGTAATTGGATCGCATCTGCTTGTCACTGCCACCCTAGCTGAGCATCCTGGAATTTTTAAAGGGGCCGCTCAGTAATAAAGGACGTTTTAGCAGAGATAGGAAGCAACATAGTGGTCTATTGCTTGCTTGGGAGTTACACATTACAGTATCATATGTGGAACACAGTAGCTGATATTCACTAGATCAGAAAATAGGCATTTGGTGTTGCTTTCCATTATTGCACAGATGCCAAAATGTAAAGCTTTGTATTTACTATTATAAGTGCTTTTTGTTATGACAGAGTGATATTGCTCCTACATTAACTCCAGGTCATAATGTCTCCTTGAACTCTTTTTTTTTTAATCTTGAAGAGCAAGACTTCAGCATGTTCTTAAACTGTTATGAACATCTTTATTATTGAAAGGAAAATTCATATTTTCACATTGCAATATATGTATGCCAGTGATTTGCTATAGTTCAGTATTAGGAGGTTCCTCATAAAATCATAAGAATTAAAAGGCCCATTAAGTTCAGCCTGCTTAGTACAGGAGTTAAAAACCCCAGCAGCCAAACAACTAAATAGCTCATGGTTGTCAAACTTGCCATGTCACATTGCTGTCACATGACGTTTCATGATGTTTTTCCTCTTTGCGGAGCTGGGATGGGCGTGGCCTGTGCATGGTACATCCGCCAGTTTGACACTCCTGACCTAGCCTCTGCTTAACACAGCTGTTTCCAGGTAACAGATTCAGCCATCAAATTGCTCTGTCGGCAAGAAAGTTTTCCCTTACGTTCAGACAGATTTATCTTCTTGTAACTTTAATCCATTCTTCCAAGACTCACTTTCTGAAATAGAGACATGTCTTGGCCATCTTGCATATGATATCCTTTAATAATTTGAAGAGGGCTAGCCTATCCTTTTTAGTTATCTTTTCTCTAAACAGACCCAATGCCTTCAATTATTGGATTATTTCCCTATTTTATCCCTGTTGCCCTTCTCTGACCCTCCTTCAATTTCTACAGATCTTTAGTGCAATGGGTAGAACTGAACTCAGTACTTGAGATTGGGTATCCCAAAGCAAAATAAAGTGAACTGATTACTTCAGTTTTTAAAAATCATATTTCTATTGATGCAATCTGTAATTTGCATTTGGCCTTTTTAAATAATTATATGGAAAAATTGTCTCATTCAGTGTGTAGTCAACTTTATACAATCACCTTGTTGCTGGACTTAAATTCTATTAATGGACCCCACATACTTCCAGTCATCTATCCTATCAAACAGTTCTGTAGTGAACTGGAGTATTGACTCTGCATGGACTAGAGCTGGGGAAAAGGAACAATGACTCCTGACTGCTACATGCACTTTTAAATCATTGATTGTTAGCTGAAAATCTACTAAGGTTGTCTTACCCTTGTTTCTTATAGGATCAAAACCACGAACGATTAGTCCAACAATTGGACTGCTGTTAATGGCTTTTGTGATTTTGCATGATGAGTAAACTTTTTTAAAAAAAATATTGGTATTTGAAAAACAAACATAAACAAACAAAACATAAAAACATCAAGCTATCTTCCATATGTGTACATACAGTGTGCCGGTTGGTTTACAAATTGTTTTGTGCTTCCATTTCGTAGTCCTCAATTACAATTACATTGCATATAATCTCATATTTTCAATCAAAAATTAAATACCGTAGTATCATTATTAATCATTTGACTATACTTTTATTCATTCATGTTTTACAAGATAATCATAATTTACTTAGTTTATTTTATAACAGTTCATATTATCATCCCAAATCTATCCTAAAATCATTTTGTAGATATAATAAGAAAGAAGTACATCTTTATATATTTATTATTTTCTAAAAGTCTACATATTTCATTACTGTATTTTATTGTCTAACCATTGATAGAAAAGATCCCAAATTTTATAAAATTGTTTATCCTCTTGTTCTCTAATTTCAAATGTCAATCTACTCATTTCAGCACATTCCAATATTTTCTTAATGATTTCTTCCTGTGATGGTATTTTCTCATTTTTCCAGCTTTTAGCAAATACAATCCTAGCCGCTATAATTCACCTCTTTTTTGAGTAGCATTTTAGTCAGGAATCGGTATTCTCTTCTCATCTCTCTCACTCTTCTGGTATTTGTTTCAAGACCACAATCTCCTTGTCTTTATATTTCAATGTTTTCTCTTTTGCCACTTGCAATATTTGCATTTTAATGGTTTTCTTTGTAAATCTAAGGTGAACTTCTCTTGGTAAGCTATTTCTCATCGCATATCTCGTGAAAACTCGATAAACCTCATCTATTCCATCCATTATATTCTCTTGAGTTATTTCCAAAGCTTCAGCCAGTATTTCTATCATTATCTCAGCTAAGTTTTGTCCTTTTTCTTCCTCTACATTTTGGAATCTAAGAGAGAATTCTGATCTATCCATCTCCCATCTCAACATACCACTTTTATCTTGTTAAACCATGGTTAATCTATTATCAATATCTCCAATCTTCTTGTCTCTTTGTTTATTTTCTTCTTCAATTTTTTGGAATCTCTCATCATACTTCAACATCATTTGTTGGATGTTCTCCACTTTTTCATCGGTTTTCCCTCTTCTTTGTTCAATGTTCTCTGTTCTTTGTTCAATGTTCTCTGTTCTTTGTTCAATGTTCTCTGTTCTTTATTCAGTGTTCTCTATTCTCTTTTCAATATTCTCTGATCTTGCTTGAATATTTTGAATTCCTTGCATAATCATCTGCAGAGTTACTTTTTCTTGTTCTTTTTCTTGCTTTAACATTGTCTATATTGAACGTTGTCCTCCAGATGGTGGAGAGGAAGAAGTTGAAGAACCAGGAGCTGTAAATTTCCTACTCATTTTAAGCAATTCAAAATCTTCAGGTACTTCTAAACCTTAATCCAATTGTGAAGTAACCAATTATAGTTCAAAATAAAAATAGTAGAAAAAAGAAGCCCAATAATAATGATTTTAAAAAAGAAAAAAAAGGGAGGACAAAATTTCTTCAGGTTCTTGTATACCTTAATCCAATCAGTAGTTAGATGAAGAAAAAAGGCTTGGGAAAAAAAAGGAAAAAAAAGGAAAAGGAAAAATTCTTCAGTTTCTTCAATACCTTAATCCAATTGAAAGGTCTCAAATAGAAAAGAGTGCATAAGAATAAACCAGAAAGGTAGATGAAAAAACAAAAATACCAGGAAAGGAAAAAAAAGGCTATTTCCTTAAAAAAAACATTAATACTAAAACTTCCCCTTTAAAATAAAAAGCAAACGTAAAGATTGGACTTCCAAAGAAAAAAAGAAAAACAAAGACAAGCTCCAACAAAACCAAAAACCCAAATAGTTATTACAAGAAAAAAAAAAGATAAAATGAAATACAATAAAGCTGGTGAAGAGGGATAGCACAACTTAGAAAAAGTAAAAAGAGCACACTGCACTTTGTTTAATTATCCAAGGCTCTTATTATAGCTCTCTTCTCCAAAAACTTATCACCTTTCCCCCCCTCTAGGTTTCAACACCAGACTTCAGCTGTTGATAGAAACTCAGAAGAGCACCTGCAATAATACTCTCCCATGCTCTTCCCTCTATCTTATCAAATGACAATGTCCTTGAAAAAGAGCCTCAGTTCTTTCTTTCTCAGCTTTGTCTGGTCACAGGGAAATAGAATATTTTCAAGCCTCTAGTTGGCAGTGTTACAAAGTTTCTTTGCTTTCACTTTCCCCCTCCTTTTCCAAGCAAGATATAATAAGAATTAATAAAAAGAAAAATATATTTTTTTAAAAAAGAAATAACTAAAAGGGAGCCTCTAGCCTAAAATATTACAAAATCAAAAAGGAGAAAAAAATAGATATAAAAGAAAAAAACAGTCCAGTTTCAAAATATAAGATCGTGTCTAGAAAATCCAGCAATGAGAAAAAAAACATTACTTTGACATTCTTGTTTAAAATCACCGCTTAATCACTTCTGTCAAAACTTTTACAGATTCTTTCTTTTCCTTAGGGTGTCCTTTCAGATCTTAGAATAAAGAAAAAGTTCTCACCAAACCGGCACACTCTCTCTTTCTGTTCTCTTCCGTTTTGGAGCTGTTCCAACTTCAGCAGCTTTAATGGCTGCCTCTTTGCCACTGGCAAGAAGAGCTTCTCCTGGGACCAGGGACGTTGCGGTATCCCTGGGATCGACAGGATGTGCTCTTCACTTTCACCATCTCTTCAGGATGGTTTAGATCCGATAGGACTGTCCAGGAGCAAAGATATTGGCAGCAATCTCAGACCTCCGAGATCGCATGCCGTATCGTCGCGATGCCAGCTCCGCCCTCCGCATGATGAGTAAACTTAATGTGGTTTGCAAACCATAGTTTATGGTTTAACATGGGTGGAGCTTAAATTGTAATTTATCTAGTTAATCATGATTAAGGCATCGTGTCTTAGTATGTTGTGCAAACATAATACAAGAAAAAGAAAATCATGTAGATATGCTTGGAGGGTGATAAGGCTATTTCATGAGAATCAGTTTGATGTAGTAGTTAAAAGTTCCAGGCGAGAAACTTGGAAACTGAATTCTTGTTCCACCTTAGGCATCAAGCCAGCTGGGTCATTTTCTTCTGGCCCCTCAGGAGGCAATGACAAACTATTTCCAAAAACTTGCCAAGAAAACAGCAAGGACTTGGCCAAGTTGTCTTCAGGAGTCTGCACTAATTTGAATACACACACACACACACACACACACACACACACACAGAGAGAGAGCTATTCCATTGGAGTGGTAATATTTGTAGAGGATATGAAATGTTTGTATCCTGGAATTTACAAAACCCTAGAGCAGTGTGTGAGAGAGATGAGATCCTTGCTTGACAACACAATGTGGGTCTCATTTAATGACAGCTGTTACTAAGCAATGTGGTTACATGACAACATGTTTTACAATTACTTTATTTAGTGACAAAAATTCCAGTCCTAACTGCTGTCATAGACCGAGGATTACCTATATAATACAAATGGTAAATTGCTTAATCTTTCCCACTGCATTTTTTATGTATTAAACGGTGCCAAGTATGATTCAATAATGGCCATGCTAATGAAATAATTTACTTGAGTATATTTCACATTTTGGAGAAACTGTTTTCTGACGATAAGTATATTTGCATACTTTCGGTAGACCTTCTCTGGTCTACCGAAAGTACGCAAATATACTTATCGTATATTGCATTCATTCTCTTGAATATTTATTTCTTCATTTTCTTGAATATTTAAACATAGAACTAGGAACACAAATTGCTATTCAAGCTGCTTTGCTTTTATTCATCAATAGAATGAAACCTTTGAGGAAAAGCTGTCTTTGAAATCTTTATAAATGACACTGTGACTTCATTGGCATTTCTGGCATTGATATATCAACACTTGCTCAAGCAAATTGTTTTATTGAGAACAAAAAATGAAGCATAAATTCAGATTCCATTGACATTAGAATTATTGGCCTAAATTAAGAAATATCACAAAATCCCATCTATAATAAACATCAAGGATAAGTATTTAATAATACTGCAAATAAAAAATAGAAGCAAAAAGACTTCAGCAATGACATTCAGACGAGAGAGAAGCAGCTTCCATGGTACTAATTAATTTAGTACATACTGCTTTGAATTAATGATAACATCCATGAAGAATGAGACCAGCACCATTTCAAGGTATGAATATGCTCCTTATGTTCTTTGTAACAATAAAACAATCTGTCCTGGGAGGAGGACCATTTGATGAACAAACCAGGAACCTCTGGAAATAGATAGCTTTCACATTAGAGTGAAATGGAGTTTTGCAATTGCCCCGTCCCAATTTTTAAGACACTATGGAAAATAGCTTTTATCTGAATTAGAGGGAAGAGAAGAAAGACCAGTGGTGGGATTCAGCCAGTTCCACCAGTTTGGGTGAACCAGTTGTTAACTTTCTGAGCAGTGTGGTGAACTGGTTGTTGGAAGAAATCATTAGATCAGGGAACCAGTTGTTAAATTATTTGAGTCCCACCACTGAGGAAGACTTATAATCTTCCATGACTAGCCAATTCATTGAAATCTTTAATTCCAGCAGTTTTTAGGGTGGTAGATAAACAAATTTTGAGCAAGTGGTTTAAGAGGTACTTTGTGTTTTTAAGTCATCAACTGTGCTTTTGGGGAAGGCATAACTTTTTTAAAAAAAAGAAATCTAGGCTCAGTTAGTCTTTGTTAGCTGAGATTCATTTCACAATGGCTTTGAGTTACTTGATTTGTCTCCCCATTTTGTTAATCTGTTATTTTGACTGTGGTGTATAGCACTGTGCTTTTAATGGAGGCAAGCTTTTAAATGTTTTGAGAAACTGTTTCAATTATTGAAACATTTTCTATATTTTATGTGCGTTGATGTATTTTATTTATTTCAAATATGGGCAGATGAATTTGAGTGTGTGGATGTATTTGCATAAATAGCTCACTTTTAAATAAATCAACAGCAACTTCAGTTGTGTACAAAGGATATCGCTATTCTTTTCAAAAGAGGGGAAGATTCAGGAAGCCAAGCAATATAGCCCACCACTGAAAGACATGAGATATTCACAAAAGATCCTCACAAACTCACAGAGTTGTGAATTAAGCTACCTGTAGCTTGCTTTAACGTTTCAGGCAGAGATAGAGGATCTCACAAAGTTCAAGGCAATGCATATCTAGCTAAAAAATGAATGAGACTTTGGACATTGAGCATAATGGCCAATTGTCTGCTGAAGTGACAGTTAAGACAGTACCCAGAAAATTGGAATCTAGATTTTTTCAGGTTTCCTTTGAACTAGATTCCCACACTATTTGTGCCTTTCTTCAGAAGGAAAACAAAAACAAAAACAGGAAAAATATGCTTCAATTCAGGATTTGTGATGTTGTGCCCTTCTGCCCTCCTTTCAAGTTATTTGAAAAATACTACCACATTCCCTTTTGCTTCTTGGATGAGAAGCGATGCTGTGTGCAATTTGAAGGCAGCGATTGCTTATTCCCGTGCTATTAATCGTATTAAATAGTATTACAAGATAAATTACAATTCACTTTATTGTATATTTTACAAATGTATAAGGTTACCCAGAGCCCTGATGTCCATTACTTCTACATGATCCGCAGGAATATGTGTAGCATTTCTAGAAAGGGAATTCCGGGTTTCAGTATAATGAAAGAAAGCTCTAACCCTTCTTTTTTTGCAGTTCAAACAAGCATACATTTTTGGCCAACTCAAGAAGAATTTCATTTCTATGTTCAGCTGGAATGGAAAAATATTCTAAAGAGATTTGCTGAAAAGCAGGATACCGTTTGGTTTACTGCAGCTAGAAAGAACTGAGAAAGAAATGCAAATGCAAAATTTAATGTTGCTCTTGGCCATTAGAAATATGCTCCCAAAAGGACAGTTGCTTTCCTCAGAAGTTCTTTGTGATTGACATAAAGGGGGATCTTCTTGTCCACCACCTGCCATCGCACCATCACTTCAAAGTCACAACCCTGGAGAAACTGGAGAAAGAAATCCCAGACAGATTTTTTTTTTATTACAATTAGTTTCCCTGCAGCCTCATGAAAGCTAGAAGGAAACAGCTTTGGAACATGTGATATGAGTAGATTACCTCAAAAACCTCAGTGAGTCTATTAATCTGAGATCGATGAGAATAAAAATCACTTTTAAGGTCTGCACTATTTCTCTTTGCATATACAATACTGTGTATATGACTGTGTCTGCAGTAGACCTGCTAAATGTTCCTCTTATTACAGTGTAAGGAATTGTGATCCATTCTCTATCTATTTCATACACATGCATGCATGTACACACACACACACACACACACACACACAGATGCACAATTTCTCTTCTTTCTTTACCATGATTTTGTCTTTCGCCTTTCAGAGTGCTTTCCTAAATTTCCTTGGACCCTTCATCTATCTCCCTGGGGATCCACCACCCTGGGTTTTGTTCACAGAATCTTAGAATTTGCATCTTGAGGATAGCATGATGGTAAGAAGTGACCTGGTGACACATACTGAGTTCAGACGCTTCATTTCGACATCATTCTGATCTTCAAAATGTACACTGATGGCTACTGTCTCTATCCAAGCATTGTCTGTATTCCTTGGATCATCTATGTACCCTTTATATATCTGGAAGAAGATAGGATTCAGGGAGATAATGTAATAATAGAGGATAAGACAAAATAGAGAAAAGACAGGCTGGTATCATTCAGAGGATAGAACAGTTCCTTATCAATCTAAAGAACAATTGTCACAAAGGTGTATAGAAGTAAATATTTAAAAAGTACCATTCCTTCTGGAAAGGATGCTGGTGGTACTATTATTGTACTATAGGAAATACCTTTAGCTCAGATGCCCTAGAATAGAAGACATTTTTCTGTTTCTGATGTGTGTTGTGAGATTAAGGAGTTTTTATAGTGCCATATAACACATGGATAAAATCAACCCCAATTTTAACTGATAAACTGTAACATTTTATATCAAGCCAAATCCAAAAGTGCTTATATACTATCTAAAAGACAATCAAAAACCCAGGAAGGAAGGAAACAGCCTAGGCCTTAGAACATATCTCCTCCAGCAGCCAACACAAAAAAAAGCTGGAAACAATATCAGATAAATAATCAGGGAAGAAATAATACCCAAAACCAGGAACCATCAAAGAAGAAGCATATCCCCAACAAAATGACAGAGCAAAGTACTATATTTAAATAGCCACCCACTGCACTCTCCTTCACACTAATGATGTTACCTTACCTGGTTAATGAAAAGTTGGCAAAAAAGCAACTTAAGCTAGCACGAAGACCCAACCCTGACCTATATATATTCTCCTATATTGGTTAAATCATTGATTGATTACAGGCTTGTGAAAATGGATTAAAAAGTCTACTTTGCTAAATATTTGGACCTTATATAATATGGTTACATCATTACATACAGAACTTCTTCCTAATATCAATAAACAAAATGTGTATGACCTATGCTGTGTCTTCGGTAAACTGCAAAATACTGCAAAATTTTACAAAATGTAAAATTTCTGTATTGTTAAAATGTCATCTTAAAAAACATGATTCATTCGATGTTGTGTCCACATTTAGGCCCTATATGACCCCAGCATCATAAGTGCAATTCTCTACAACTGTCATGCCTTTAAGAAGATAGTGGGAAAAATGGCTAATGTTCACCAACAATTCTATAAGACTCTTCTCCACTTTTATCAAGCCACAACTTCATGGCCAAATACCTCTGTTCCTTGATTCAGCAATTTCTGAAATTGTGGCCAGAACTCTCGTCTCAGGACCTGTTTTATTTTTTGTGGCAATGCTTCCCCAGGTTCTAGAGATCCCTGGAAAGAATCAAAGCATTATTTAGTGCACGAGGCACACATTCTATTAACTGTAATGCTATAGAAAACAGAAATTTCCGTTCAGTTGGCAGTTTTGTAATGGTGGGATTCAATTTTTTTTACTACCGGTTCTGTGGGCGTGGCTTGGTGGGCGTGGCAGGGGAAGGATATTGTAAAATCTCCAGTCAGAGGGGGTATTTGCCTGTTCTTTAAACTACTCAAAATATCTGCTACTGGTTCTCCAGAACTCGTCAGAACCTGCTGGGGTGGGCCTAATAAACTTAATAAAATGATAAATCTCTGAGGTGCAGGTAAGTAACCTTTGCTGACATATTAAAATCGAGGATTTTAATTATACATCTCTACCTTCAGGGCATATCATGATACTATTGAGGTTCTGGTGTTGGAAGTGTGGCGATCTAAACAGGGAAGACCATGCTTCAATTTGACCCAAGCAAACTGGACCGATTTTGATTTTAAGGCCCCCTTATATATGGAGATTTACCATCCTTTAGCTCTTTGTAGGGTTGCCTTGCCCCAGGCAGAACTGGTACACAATATGGGGATCCTCCAGGAAATGTGGCTGCTATTTGAGGAATAAGTAGCAGCCAGAGCCAGAAGGGCTTTGTGCATAGATTGTCCTCTATACCAATTGTGTGGTTTCCTGAATTGGAAAGCATTACTAAAGATCACTGAGGCCTTGATTGCCTCCTAAATGAATTACTGCAGTGAACTCTACATAGAAAATCAGCTGCAGTATGCAGTAGCATGGGCAGTTATGAATGTACCTCAGTAGACCCATATTGCATTCTATGATTGCATCCCATAAAGCTCTTTATACTTTTCTCCAATTGTTTATCCCCAAGTTACTAGTTCTGGATAGATAGGCCTGCATGCTGAGATCAATCCATTTGATATTTCATAATCTTTAAAAATTAGGATGTTTCCTCAAGCACAGGGCCTGTAGATTAGATGAACCCATCATTTTGGGTTTTTTTTTTGTTTCTATGTGGTTGAATTGAAGGAGGTAAGTAAGTAAGATTTGTGCACACATGCCACTTCATTGGAATCAAATTCAGTCTACAGCACAGAACACATTCTTATCCACATAATGAAAAATATACCCAACTTATATGTTTTATTATGGAAAATTTCAGAAGGCAGCCATACTTTTATTTTCTTCATAAGTGTGGTCCTTGGCTTATTTTCCATTCTCCTCAGCTTATTGTCCTCAGCTTAGTGACTGTTCACAGTTACAATGGAACTCTGTGGGTCCACTTATGACCTGGGTTCAAAATTTTGATGGCTACCCCCCATGGTCACATTATTGCATTTTGTGTGCCTAGCAACTGACTCACACTTATGCACCATCCTGTGGTGACCATGATTTTCAACATTTTTTGCAGGACAACACATTTACTTGTGCTTTCAGACAAAAATGCCCACTGCAGACAATGGATTTGCTTAATGCCCATAGTATTTGTTTTAGAACTGTCATTTGTGCTTAATGCCCATAACAGAGAAAGTAAGATCAGATGATCTGCTTAACTACCAGCATTACATAACTGAAATTTTAGGCTCAATTACAGCTTTAAGTCAAGGACTACCAATAGACATAGTTTGTTGTGTTAAAAGTACATATTACTAATTGGCATGATTTTATTAAATTACCAACTTAGATCTTATTGAAGATAGACTGCCCCATATATGCTTACCCCAAGTAAAACCCAATTATCCAAGAAAGGGAAATTGACCACTAAAACTTCCAGCATTTTCTTCAAGTTTTTTCTATAAATGGATCCATCAACATTCCTTCGCCAACTATAAAAAAAGAGAGTATAGCTTGCTGTTGTATCAAGGTACATGAAGAAATCAAAAGGTATATGAAGAAATCTATAATGCTAAAATAAAATGAGCTCTGATTGTTATCTGGATGAGAAGCAGAATACAAATGTATTTTTTTCTAAATATGTATTGTATATATAATCAAACTCTATTATATCAGTCAGATATTCATTATGCACACACACACATACACACACACACACACACTGAAAGTAGATATAAACCTCTGCATAGTAGTTAAAAATCATTGTGATAGATTTTTCCAGTATCTCTGTCCTATTCAGCATCAAATATTTATTCAATAAATCATAAACTAAAAACTTAAGATGAATGTTCTGCTTTTTGATAATGAGAAAAAGTCTTTTGAAACTACATGCAGCTTCTGCTCATGCTTCAAATCATGAGCATCCAAGGTTTCCCCCCCCCTCCTGTTGCCATGGATACCACATTTAAGCTGCCAAGGTGCTGCTGTCAACACCTAAGGCTCAGAAGTGTGGTGAAAAGTGGAATGTAGTTCACAATGCTGATCTGAGGAAACAAGATGTCTGCTTCTAATCTCTGGATGGGTATAAAACAGGAATTAAAATAAAAACACATTACAAAAGAAGCACATAAAATTTCCTCACCGTGTCACAACTGAATGCAAGGCATGATTGGGTCCAAAGAACCTAAGGATTCCTTGGCCCCTCAAGCCTGTCCTGCCCATGGGATTTCTGAAAGAGAAACAATAGTTCTGTCATGAGCTAGGGCCATAGAGATGCTGCCCTTCCCCTGGGAACTCCCATCTGGAAACAAATGTTCAAGGAGAGGTCAGAACGATAAGCTAAGCCAGGAGTCTCCAACCTTAGCAACTTTAAGACTTGTGGACTTCACCTCCCAGAATTCCTCAGCCGAGTTGAAGTCCACAGGCCAAGGTTGGAGACCCCTGAGCTAAGCAGTTATTAACACAGATTTAGTTTGAACTAAGGCTCACTAGTACTTACACTTGAAGAAAAGCCGAATTACTGAGGAAAAGGCATTTGGATTGACCACCATTCAACTAAAACAGTATTATTTGACTGGCCTGCCTTTCCCTATGGAGTAACCCATCTCTAGACAATCTGCTGAAAGAGAAAGGCTGCCTTCCAATGAAGTATCACAGTAATTGATTATGTCTCTTAGGAACCCTTAAGGAATCAGAGATGTTTCACAACAGTGAAGTTCAGCCTCTCTGGCTATGAGCCTTTTGTTTTGAAGACACTGAACATTTTCACCTGATTCTTTTACTAGCCTAATTGTTATAATCTCCTATCAAGAAAATCTCTGTGTAAAAGTAACCCGGCTTTCTTTTAAATGCTGAACAAAATATATTGCACCTATAATTTGACTCTGGAATGTGCACTCTCAAAATATCTTGATCAAACTACTATGAAGTTGAAAAGGAGAGCAATTTCCTGAATAAGATTCTTCCAAATCGCTTCTTTTGTTATCTGCTATAACCGCTGCACTTGAAATGGGATATATGAGTTCAAGCATAAACATTCAGCACATCCATGATGGGACTCTGACTTCTAAATTCTCATGTTAACTAATTTTCAGCACAAAGTGGAGACAGTAACCAAGATTCCCTCTGTGGGACTTACAGTGGCAGGCCACCCTCAACAGTATAAGTGCCATGGAAACTCTGCCTGTTGATCTCTCCATCCAGGCTGTTGAAGTTTATTCTTGAAAGGTTTTCCAAATTGCTGGAAGATAGGAGCAAAACTTTTATCTTTTTAGCATCTTTGGCCAGTGAAACGCAACTTTTAAACCAAAGGACCTCAATGTAACAAAAAAATAATCAGTAGAATATTTGTGATAGAAGCAAACAGAAGCAGCAGCTCCATTAAAAAAAAGACAATGGCCAGGTATAGTGAGAGGAAGCTAGTGGTAGGAAGCAGCTATAAGAGCACTTACTCTCTCAGGAACTTTGGTGTGATATCCTCTTGTGTTTCAGGACTATAGAAGGGCGGATTATAGATATCGAACTCTGTCTGCCAGGGGAAAAAAAGGTTACTTTAGACTTCAGAATTGTGCATAGCAACATGTACTCTCATTTCAATTACGAGGTATTTTGGAGAATTCCAAAGTGAAAACTGAATTTCTTTCTGAATTTCCTTAGGCCTAGCAGATCAGGTACTATACGATACCATATTTTTTCCTATTGTTGTAGTGTTCTGCTTTGTTGTTCTTGTATTCTTGTAAGATGAAAATATGCATACTTTATAATAAACAAACATGGTTGCTCATGCATGAGCAATAGTTATATGTATATGCATGAGACAAGAAAAGGAAACAAAAGAAAAGGAAGCAAAATCTACTTAAGGCAACACATTTGCTACACATTTGAATATCTTTTTTTAGCCTTGCTTCCATCATGTCCATATAGTGTTCATACATTGCTTGTGTTCTTTAAGTTTCTCAGCTCTCTTTTAAAGGATCTCTATTAACTCCTTCTGGACTTCCCATTTTTCACATTGTAGTCTGTTACAATTCAATCCTTATTCATTTTTGCTATTGGATAAAATCACCTCTACATACTTTTTTCTACTTTTCTTTCACTTTTTTATTCAAGCCATATTCATAACCTATTAATTCTTGATCCAATCTCTTTTTTATCACACTCACTTCTAAAGCATTCCGTTCCTACTGCGTTCAGTTGATTGATTTTTAACATATTCAACTTTCAATTCCATATAACAAAATGGGGAAAGGCGTGCTCTTTACACAGACGTTTTTATTTCTTTCAGCAAGCATTATATCCTCACTGTAATCAGATACTATCCATTACTTTTCTACAAGCATTTGCCGAGCATATAATTTCTCCATTTACAAACTGAGTTCAGAGCCAAGGCCTCTAAGGGTGATCAGATTCCGCCAAATATTTTTTTTTCATTGTATAGGTATTTAGTTTATAGTTTTCCAGAATTTTCAGAATTGTAGACAGGTGAATTTATGTAGAATTCTTGTTATAGGAGATCCGTAGCACGGAATTCAGATTTGTTTAGTAAGAAGATAATTTAAGTAAACACTTGGTCCATTTAGCATTAATCAGAATAACAGAACCAACTGTCTAAATTTAAGGTTCCTACCTCCCATGGCACCTTCTCATCCGGCACAGGGAAGCGAATGGTAGTAGACTTGGGATATAGGAGGTTCCTAGAACTCACATGGGACAGGATGAATAAAGATTCCGAGACTTCCTCTGCTTGCTGCTCCTTTGTTTCAGCAGCCCTGCTAGGGACTGAAACCCACCCACCACAGAATTCTATTTATCATATGTATCATCAATCAACATTTTCCATAATTTTGGGAAAAGATCTATTTGCACTTGAGAACCATTAATGACACCAGGGGTCCCAAACTCTCAGTCTGTGGTCTGGTGCCAGGTGCAGCCCAATTGGAATCGGGCCATGGAGGTGGTAGGCAAGTGCACACGTGTGTGAGTGTGAAGCTGCATTTGTGAAAGTGGCATGCATATACAAAACCATCCCCTCTCCCCTCCACCCGTCTTTGCCTCCACCAGTCTGCTGAGCTAGAAAGATCGGAGAACACTGACTTAACTCTTCTAAGATAGAGTAATATCTTTCATTACACTAGCATATTTAATCTTGGATAAGAAACACATATTATAAAGGCAAGTGAAGTACCTCAGTTTTACCCATTTTCTCTAATTATATTAGGTGTTCAGCTCCCATAATCCCCAATCCACATAGGTCCTCGAACAGACTATAGGATTATATTTATGTAATATATTGTTTATTTTATTCTTTCTAATTCTTGAAGGGGCAAAGCTCCCCTTGAAACAGCAGATCCATGACCCGAGAGTCCTCGATTCATAGCTACCACTTGACAGCCAAGTAAAGACCATGGATAGAAGAGATATTTTTATTAATTTATACATAATACCTCCACTGTTTATAAATAACTTAAGGTGGTGACCATATCTAATACTCCTTTTCTCCTCATATTTTCTTCACAACAACCCTTGTGAGGTGGGGTGGGCTGACAGAAAATGATTGGTCCAAAATCACCCAGCCAGTTTTTCATGCCTAAAGCAGCACTAAAACTCACTTGTTTCTAGTCTGATGCCTTAAGGGACTTGCCATAGAAACTCATGTTACTATCACCAACAATTTGATTTACCACAATACTCTCCTTATGGGGATGCCTCTGAAGACCACTCAGAAATATGTGACACATGGGGTGGCCCACCCAACTTACCCAATATGGATTTTCTGCTGACATATGGAACTGAAAGAGATGGGATTACAATCAATGTTTTTCTCTTGCAGTTCCCATGCTGTGGAACACCTCCCTTTTGAGATTACATTGCCATTCTCACTGTTGGGCTCAGAAATAAAAACATGTACCAGAAGATCTCTGAGGATTCATTTACTCTTTTTATTGTTGTGTTTTTATTGACGGTTATGTTTTTATTCTGTTTTTATATTTTTGTATTATAAATCACCAAGATTCCCTTTTGTTGAATCTAGTGGTAAACATAATAAACAATCAAATATAATATAGTATATAAGCCGCAACGTTTCGGCAGAATCTCATCTGCCATCATCAGGCTTCTGTATTGTGTTCGTTTGTGAGTCAGACTTTTATAGTTGTTTCAGTTTTAAATTTGGGGCTAGCCTATTGCTGCGCCAGAATGGTTTTTTCTTCATCCTGATAGGTTGGGAATCTTGGTCTGTGTTTATTGGTCTTAGAGTTTGCTGTGTTCTGCTTGATTGGTGTTTCTAATATCTTCTGTCTGTTTTGTGGCTCTTTTTGTGTCTTGATTGGCTGGCAATATTGTGTTCCTGTATTGGAGGCCTTTAGTGCAGCTTGGCTCCGAGTAAATGGACGGCTGTCATTTGTTAGGAAGCTAGGTTTCATCTGGGTGCCTGGTTGGGGTGTGTTTGAGCTGGAGGTATCAGGGGGGATCTGTTTGTGCCCAGGTGTTTGCCTGGCTAGTGGTGTGGAGATGTTTTTTGTTTGTGAGTGCAGGCTTCCAAATAATTGACAGTCTGGTGGAATCATCTCTTCTACTCATGCTTTCAGGTCTTTTTTCAATCTCCATGGCTTCTCTGATAATTCTGTGGCTGGGGTTTTCTATAGTGGCTAGGGTTTTGGTGCCATTGAAGTTGATGCTATGACCTGTGGCTTTCATGTGTTGGACTAGTGAGGAAATGTGTTCTAGCATTTTTACTGCATTTTTGTGTTCATCCAAGTGGGTACTAATTCTTCTATTGGTCTGTCCAATGTATGTGGCCGGGCATAATGCACAGGGGACTTCATGCCTGGCCACATACATACTCCGAGAAGCACAAAGCCAAAGACACAAGATGTGTCTGAAGATGATGAATGAGACTTCATCGAAACGTCACCTAGATACTTCCAATTTTACGCCGGAGAAAACCCGAATAACCAAAGATCCACATACAAATACCCGCGAAAGCCTCAGAAAACACACACACACACAGAGACAGATAAGCAATTGATACAAATTCTAACATTTTGATTTAAGCAGTCTTCCCTTCTGAGAAAGGCCCAATGCTGAAGACACATATTGCTTTTCCTCTTTCAGATTTAAAAACTTAATGTGGTGCATATAAGATTTCTTCTCATTTTTTCTAGGAAGCCAGAGAGAGAGAGAACAAATAACCTGAAGTCACCTAATGAGCTTCACACTGAGTGAAGAACCTAAATTTCCCCTCATTGCAATCCAGTACCTTAATTATATCAGAGAGTTTCTCAGGCAAAGATGATTCAGCAGTGCAATAAGGATCAACACAGCACAGTGAATATTTATGCAGGAAGTAATATAGCAAATGAGAGATCTGCTATCTTCAAGAAAAATTCTGCTCAAGATGCCATTATATCTGAGGTATATGGTCATTATTATATAATGTGAATGAGTGCTAAGAAAATCTACATTCATCTTCAAATGAGGCCAAATGAGCAGAACAAAATATAACTTGGAATGGTAAGAATTCTTTGTTTACTTCTTGTGATATATTTTATATTCAAATTCTAGCAAGTAAATATATATATACATCACAGTTCTACTATAAAGGATGTGTGTGCATTATTGTTTTTTCCCCAAAATATAAAGTGGGAAAGAAAGAGTAAGTTCCCATTTATGAAATGAAAAATGATACATACATGTAAACCAAAATAAAAATCTAATGCAAAATGGTTCTCAGAGGTATGTGCTTGCAGGAAAACATACCTAAAACAGGAATATCTTCCTCTGTACCAAACCCACTGTTAGACAACGATTGAACAATCCATTGTAATCCCTTTGCAAATTGGAATGTCTAGAGAAGAAGCAATTCATTGCACTTGTTAATTACTACATTCATTAAAAAGTGACTTTCAAGAAGGAACGTTGGCAGACATGGCTGATAAGTGAATCTAGGCCACAAGAAAGAACTCTAAAGTGTTTATAATGTTGGTTCATGTAGTACAACCTTTTTACAAGAGACCATTAAAAATTGGCTCTCCAACTGAGATATGTGCCTGCTTGTATAATGTAGCTTATTACCAGGATGTAGCTTAATCCACAACTTGCCCTATTGCCTAACACTAGGAATTTAATGACTAAAAGAAGCTTTAGAAGAATATGGGGGTCTGCAGAAATGCCTTAACTTCTGAAAGCACACAGTGTTCTTTTTAAATACTGTAGCATGGCTGACATGAAACAGCCTTATATGCTTTCCAGTTCTCGAAGAGCTGCCTTGTGTCCAGATGGGCCCATGCTTTGCATAAGTTTTCAATATTCTCCAACTAGGCTAAGCTAAAAGGCAGGATGGAAGCTTCAGAAATCAACCTTACCTGTTCTTCCAAGTGTAACAACCTTTGTTCCAATAGCTTCATCGTTTTCTCCTGATCAAGATCCAGCATTTCTGTTAGTTTATCCACTCTGGAAAAAAAGATTAGTATTTCAAGCAGCATCAAAGGGAGAGTGATTATACCCTCAAACATGAGGTTTTGTGACAGAATCAACTGCCTCATGTTAGAATGTTCTTCCACTACTGAACATATGTGGATCTTGTATTCTGAATCCTAATAGGAATACTAGGGACAAGTGGGATTTGGAGTAGTCTAAGGCCTAAAATAAGGTATGCATTAGGAGGGTTACTCAAACCTTTCACATTCTTCTGAATTATATTTCACAATCTTGATCATGAGCTGACCCGATGTTATTACTATTTAAATGGAAAAGACAATTTTCACCTGTCTGTGATGTGCTGGATTTTCTGCTCAGGAGTGTGCTTTTGTTGAGACTGTTGGAGTTGCAAATAATTTTCCTTCAGGTACATCTCCCAGGACAATAAAGCTGCCTCTTCATTCTTCTCAAATTTCTTTTCTGCAGGTTAAATCAAATATAATACATAGAGCTCTCATCTCAGAAAATTGACAGTTACAACATGGACGGACAATGGGGTAGGACATCATGACAGTGTGGCACTTGTTTTGCCACTTGGATGAAATTAGATTAGATTTCATTAGTTTAAATTATATTAGATACTGTAGAGGCCACTGCTCAGTAATGACCCTTCAATTACTGGCAGCAGTGGATTTAAGAAACAAAGAATTGCTGATCTAATAATTTTTGTTAGGTTTTTTTTTTCTACCTATCAAAATCAACTTTTATTGCTTTGCTCCTTTCTCTTCTTTCTCTTACATTATTTCTTCTCATCTTTCAGAATTCACTGATCTGCATCACCTCTTCCAAGCCACCATATTCTCCTTTTCAACTGCTCTTGAATTCCAAAACATAATAGGTAGGCTAATGCTATCTAATGCAACTGAGATTAAAGTTAGTTTGAGTTTCATTTACCTTCTGGCGACTGTACGAAAAATGCTTGTTCTTTTAATTTGCCTTTAGCAATAATTTGTAGCTTTTCCAACAACATTCCTGGAATCTTTTCCAGGAGTCATCTATTTTATATGTTATTATTTTCCTCAATCTGACAAAGAATATTTTTTTTTTATCCCATAATCTGCTCACATAATGTATCCCAAATATTTGGATTTCAGCCTGCTAAGTATCAGAAAGATAATAAGCAGTTACTCTATATTCAAAAATAATATTTTTTAATTTTTCTATTAATTCACCAGACATACTTATAGGATTTCAAGTATACTCTCAAACTTTCATTGAGATTGATATGATAATGAAACATTTCAGATTCAAAGTCAAAAGGATGCTTCAGAATATAGGAAGTACCAAAGACAATACTGGAAGTTGGAAATGTAGTGCAAATTCCTTAAATACACGGATATTTTTTCTGAAATTTTATACCAGCAGCCACATAATCATGGAAAAAAAGAATTGCAGGGACGCGATACGTGCTCCAAAACATCTTTTTGTCTTTGATCCTGGAGTGCCACATAATTCTAAATGCTAGTTTCTTAACATCTTGCAGAATTTATCATTGCATCTTTAATTAGACAAAACCATAATTCTATCACAGATTAAACCAGGCAAGAATAAAATCAAAAGAGTACATAAGTTATTTTAGTAATATTCAGGGGTGGGATTCTACCAGTTCACACCTATTCGCTAGAACAGGTTGTTAACATTCTAAGCAGTTCAGAGAATGTTAGAAGAAATTACTGGCCTAATCCTGTAAGGAAGGCAGGAAGGAAACATTCTGGGGTTGCTTACAGAAACTGCCTCTCCCTTAACCCTTGTTATATTCTTGGCAGGACTGGATTTCCTGTCTCAGGAACTTCTCTGGAGTTTTTTTCCCTTCCTTTGCTGGTACTTTGCTTGTGTGGAGTGACCATTTAAAGCTACAATGGCACTGAAAAAAGTGACTTATGACCATTTTTCACACTTACGACTGTCACAGCATCCCCACAGTCATGAGAGGTCAGGCGAGGAGAAGCGTGCCTTGATGTGAGTGATATTGAGTTTGCCATGCCCAGCCAGTCACATGACCATCAAGCCATGTCAACCCAGTCACATGACCACCAAACCATGCCCACCAACTAAGCCATGCCCACAGAACCGGTTGTTAAAAAATTTGAATCCCACCCCTGGTAATATTCACACAATCAATATATTTCTGTGTAAACACTTGTAAAGTACTTGCTTAAGAGGTCTTCCAGAACTACAGACAAGTAAAAATGAACGGATGTGATCATTTGTAATGTTAGCACATGTGCCTTTTTATACTCTTCAAAATTAAGTATTTACTTGTAATGTAACATCTGTTAGTTATTCATGAGAGGATAACTTCAGACAAGCAGTCCAAAATCTTTCCCAAATAGGAAAATGTTTTTGTACCAAATGCAGTCTCCTAAAATTGAACACAGATAAAATAATACTCTGAATATTGAATGTCCTTTTAATAAAATTTCTGCCATTTTCTGAATGTTTACCTAACTAGAACTCAAAGAAGGAATTGATAATTCTAATATGTTTCATGTTACAAGCATTCTTGGTTTCCTCTTCCATTGATATGGTATCACAGGAAGCCAAAATCAAAGTCAGAAAAAGGAATATAGAAAGGATACTTTTTATAAAATCAGCTATCAGCTTCTTCTGTTCACAATCCTTTTCATTTGATAGGTTTCTGACCAAATGATTTCTCTTGGAAAGTTTCTATATTTGATACACTGATATCCTCACCCAAATTAAAGTCTGCAGACAGTGTTTCCTTTGTCACATAAAATAGACTGACTAGTTCCTTGTTCTGTCCATAGTATTTTTTAATAAGTTTCACTAAAGATGCCTTCTTTCCTTCCTTCCTTTTCAGCTCTAAGACATACTGCTTTATTTTTGCTGTAACTGAGAGGTCATTATGATGCCTTTCTGGGGTTTGTCAAGAATGAGTTTGTCATTGCCTTTCTAGAATTAGGTCCTCTTTAATGTTTACACATGCTGTCCATTTATATTAATTTCTTCATCCTTGGAAAACAAAACTCTATACCTGCTTTGTTCACTGTTTTATAGCCAACAGACAGTTCACTAAATGTGTGAGTGGGCTTTACCATTGTGTACTTTTTTAACATTTCACATTAACCCAGGTTTTACATTTATAAGCTCGGGTTTGGCCAATTGGTATTTCCTTTTTTGTTCCTAATTTCTTTGTTTATTTAAGTCTTCTCCTTTGCAGTGAATAAGAAACTGTCATAAAAATTGAATTTGGAGAAAAAAAGAACAGAATAATATCAGAGTAAGCTGGAAGTCCATACTGTCTCCATACCTGTTTAACTTGTATTTACCAAACAAATTTATAAATGGCAGAACTTGGAGAAATGGCAGCTGAAACAAAAATCTGAGGTTTTTGACTAAGCAATAACAAATTAAAATATAAAAACACTCCTTTTAACCACAATTATTTTTAAAAACCCTAAAAGTTCATTATGAAAATAAAAAGTGAAAATTTGGTTGAATATTAACAGATAACAGATAATCAGAGTTGGAAGGGACCTTGTAGGTCAGCTAGTCCAATCCCCCACCCAAGTCGGAGACCCTACACCATTTCTGACAAATGACAGTCCAATCTCTTCTTGAAAGGCTCAAGTGATGGCACTCCCACAACTTCCAAGGGCAAGCTGTTCCATTGGTTGATTGTTCTCACTTTCAGAAAGTTTCTCCTTAAATCTCTCAGGTTAAATCTCTCCTTGTTCAGTTTCTATCCACTATTCCTTGTCTGGCCTACAGGCATTTTAGAAAATAGCTTGACCCCTTCCTCTCTGTGGCAGCCCCTCAAATATTGGAAGACCGCTATCATGTCTCCCCTGGTCCTTCTCTTTACTAGACTAGCCAAGTCCAGTTCCTGTAACCATTCTTTGTATGTTTTAGTTTCCAGTCCCCTAATCATCCTGGTTGCTCTTCTATTATATATAATATTATATATAATATTAAATATTAATGTTAATGTTTATAGTTAGTAAATTGGAGAACTTTGATTCTGTTGTATGACTGGCTGATAACCTCCATTTGTGCTGAGAACTACATCACTAAAGAAAAGTACAGTGGCAAAAAAAGCCTATATGACAAAAAAAAAAGCATTTTATAGACAGAAATACCAATGAGTTAAGTCAGAGTGCTGGTGTGCTTTGAGACCTCTAATTGATCTAAAAAGCTCTGACGGATTTTTTTTTATGCTCCATATTCTAAAAATCACCTCTTTCATTCTCCTTTTTAGCTCTGTTTCCATTGTTAATGAATTACAAGTTGTCATAAAGTGTTAATAGGCAGAAGCTGAACTATGTTATAGCCTGGCTCAAAATATCAGGGCCTTACTGAGCTGCTTGTGCCGTGTGGTTGGCTTCTGAAGAAACACACACTTGACAAATATCTGTAGGTGGTTTAGGAGGATAAAAGGTGGTGGAGCTGGTGGCCTGCCATTATACTCTTCAATCAGGTCATGACGCTGAAATTTCCAGATTTGGTCAGTGTGCTCCTGCACCTGCTGGAATGTGTAACTGGGGAGAAGAAAAGCAAATGTGTTACCGAGTTTAATCTTCTACATAACTCATGAAAACACAAAGCATAATGGTACTCTCCTGTGTATCCCACTAACTAAGAGTCAGTACAGAAACATCTTCTCTATTTATGGCAGTGGAAGAATGGACATTATAGAACTGTTTATTACTACCTTTATTAAAGCTGCCTCTCTTTACCTGCCTCTGAGCCAAGTATTTTTGGTTCACTTTCTGTTCTATAAGTCTGTAGAGATTCTCAGTCATCCAGGTCAGGTTGTCCCAAAGATGCTTTTTTCCAGAAGGCAACTGCACTTCCTTGTTTTTTCGCTTCTCATCCAAGAAGCTTCTTTAGCTCTGACAGGATAGTGGGGAATGGAAGGGTTTCTACTCCTTGCAGACAGCTGCTCATTTGCATCCTTTTAGAAGGTTGTTGAAGCACTTGGAGATTTATCTGTGTCCTCAGGGTCACCAGAGTAGTGCTCCTAGTTCCTGTAGTCTTCAATTTTTCCCCCTTCTGGAAATCTATTCCTACTCCCACACTATCCCTAAAAATCTGTTCAATACTGTTCTATACTAAAAGTCTGTTTCTGTCTATACTGGCTTATAGTTGTTATAACCAATGTGAGGGGCAGACATGTTTATTTTATTTTCTTGTGACCCTCAGCGCACTCTATGATGAGCAGGCAACACAGAATCCCGTGTGTGGAACTTACTTGAACATAGCAATGAGGAGATTGAGAAGGAGAATGTTGGTGAAGAGTAGGTATAGGCAAAGCAAAATTACTGTCAGCCACTCAGGAAAAATGGGCTTCTTGTTGGCTTCACTGCTCTCTGGACATTTAGGCTTGTATGGATCAGTCCCATTTGGGCTGCACTGATCAAAGTTGAAATTCACCCCTGTTAGAAAACATAGTAAAGCCAACAAGCGCTGGAAGTTACAGCAATAAGAGGAAGGTCATCTAATTCCCTGATGCACAACAAGTAACATACTATATTGCCATACAAACAACTATCATTATAAAGGCTTTAAAAAAAATTTAATGGGAAGGCCTGGATGATTGATTCAACCCTCTATGATCTGATTTTTAGAAGATAGTGCTAAATAGGAGAGATGATTCAGATGTGGACACACTATGAACAGCTATTAAGACCTGCTGCCATTGGAATGCTGCCAGAGACAGGTCATAACTTATCTGAGGACCTTGTGGTTATTTGGCTTGCTATTTATAGCCAGAGTCTAAAATATGAGCCCTGGAACACAGCAATGTAATTGTTTTGGGATTAAGAAGAGAGTATCATGAGGCACATACGTTGTATGTTATTTAAGCAGACCAGAACTGGATTAAAAGGGAGGGTTTCATTTGGTTAAATTTTTCTCATATAAAGATGAGCTAAATGGCATTGTTTCTATTTATGCTGCAGCTTTATATAGTATGGCATCATCTTTCACAATTATCTATCCTCTCAGCCATTTATTCATAATTTTACTGATTTTTGCACACTATGAAATTTGTACAAACACTTTTCAGAGAAGATCATTGGTGGGATAAGATGTTTAATGATGAATAGTTTGTAATTATCACAGTCAAACAAACTGAAACTTGCTAATCCAGAGTATAAAATAATTCTGTATTCCATACCATCAACATAGGAGGGGATCTGTCCAAATAATGTCAAGTATGAATGGTAAAAAACACCTCGGAAGATCCAGTCTACCCGTTTCTCATTGTGGATTAGGATAGCTTGTTTGGCTACTCCAAAGGATACTATCCAAACAGCCAAGAGGAAAAGGAAAAAGAAGACATCCTTCATCTGTAAACCCACCAAACAAAGCAGAAAGAAAGTCTTCAGGCATCTTCATCAAAAAAAGTGAATTATGAAAAATTATGTTTAAGTTTCCATGGTGTTTATCAATAGAAACTACAACTTACCATTCTCTTCACTATAATAATCTTGGGACCAAGAGTTTTACTGATTGTGAATATGTGCAATAGACGCAGACAAAAAATAATGAAAGCTAGGGATAGTACAATTCTTCCAGGGTACAAAGTTTCTGGGAACCATCTTAGCACAAAGAATAAAAACAAAAATACATACATTAATTGTATTACCAATGTAACATTGGGGTGATGTTCCCAAAGATTCCTGGTCTTAATTATAAGGACATCTTAATTGCCAAAGGATGCAGAATGAAGTAATATTTTTCTTAAGGTAAACAATCGTTCAGACAAAAAGGATTATGCATACATTCTCTCTACGGTAATATTTCATGGTATGCTTAGCATATTAACCAAAATATGAAAAAGACTCAGAAAATTATGGATTAACAGGATAGTAAATCTCTTATAGAAAAAGACTAACCAGAAAGGCTATATATTCAGGACAACTGATCAAAGAGTGAACAAAGGGGATTTGCATATAAATGAAACTTCCTCATATATAGAGTTAAAAGGAAAGGATTTGAATTCTAAGGCATATGTTGAGAGAATGTGATATAAACTTAAGTCTGATCTTAGGGCTTTTGCAGCAAAAGAAACTGGGTGAAAATTATTTGCATTTTGATTACTTTTTCTTTTATACATTATATCAGGTAGATTTCTTAAAATAGTAATTAGCATAATGAAACAATCCTTCCACCAAATTTTTCTTTGAAAAATAGGATAACATACACAGGGACTTACCTACAGACCAATCCAACTATAAAGATCAAAATGGCACATGCATCCAATTTATTCCAGAAATCACTGAAATATAAAGAAGCCATTTTGACCAAGCCAAACCCATCAGGATCACAAAAAAGCTAAAGAAAGAAAGAAGAAAGAAAGAGAGAGAGAGAGAGAGAGAAAGAGAGACAGAGAGATGGAGAGAGGGAGGGAGGGGGAGGGAGAGAGACAAAAGATTTACCATGGGTTGGTTCAGACATTGTGATCCCGCTAATGATCTGCATCAGGGTGTCAAATTTGTGTCATCATGGTGTCGTCACATGACATAACGTGACTTTTTTTCCCTTCGCTAAACTGGGCGTGGGCATGTCCAGTGCATGATGCATCTGGCCTGCAGGCCACCAGTTTGACATCCCTGATCTACAGCATATTGAAAAGAAAATAAGCTTGAGTGATCCCTGTTCTCCCATCTCATGCACTCGTCTAAAAGAGATTTTTGAAGTTGTTAAATCACAGTTTTTATTACACTGAAACTAGTCTGATTTTGAATTAGGATATTGAAAGCAATGTCCTTAAATGGTTATGTAGGTTTGTACCATTTACAGAAAAAACTTTCCTGCCATATAGAACAATCAATAACCTCTCAAAATGATATATACAGGCCACCTTTCCTTAAGATCTCAGAGCATAGAAGTACAAGTACTATATTATGTCATGCTCCCATGTATGGACATTTCACATGAGTTCTCTATTTTTACACGGTGCATGTCCTCTGAGATATTTTCAATTATATTGGCCATCAGGAAGCACCACATTACTGATTTCAACCTTACTGGGAATTACCAGACATGGTTAGCTGTATATTATTCTATGGAGTTCATAGTCTCTACTGGGAACCCCATTGTGTAACATATGGCTCCCTGCATCTGACAGTTTCCATTAAGGATGAAAATGGCAATGCAATGTCTCCTAGTGGTCAGTGACACTGAACAACCAAGTAACAGTCTGAAGCTAAAGAGCAATGTTGTACTGATTTGTGCAACAATACCTGCCGGGCCTCTTCACACACTAAGGAGAAAAGCCAGAAATAGATGACATATTCCGGCCAAGATGGGGTTGACTGGAAATCTGTCATCAACACAAAAGCAAATAGGCAGAGAAAACTGAAGTAGGAAAGGATGTTGAGGTGGAAGATGACCACAGGGGCAGTGAAGAAAGCTCGGAAACGGTTTAAACCAGTAGTTGGCTGGATCCTCTTTTTTCTGTGAAAGGAAAGAATGGCAGATTGGCCTGGCTGTACTTATGGCAAGAAATCAATTTTGCATACCTCTTCAATATATCACTATGTCTACTGTATGGTTATGACTGAAATACCACATGGGCAGTCTTACTCTTTGTCAATGACCTTGACAACCCCCTCCATGTTAAGATTCACCGTGGATAATTGCTGACAATGCTTATATCTAGCTTAAAAATTGTGCCAACTTTAGAATAGCAAGAATACTCCATATGTTGTGCATACTTAAAAGACATTTGTTAACACGGGAACTACATCTAGACATAGCAAAAATACAGGTGCATGTTTTTGTTGGCTAATGAAACTAATTTGATTATGTGTTTTATTAGTTTGAAGTTGGACATAAATCTGTATATTGCTGGATCATTTTACTAGAAAATAGGAAATACTAGTCCATTTGTTCTTTATATTGTATGGATTTCAACAATTTAGAAAATGAAGAAGCTGACTTTTCTTATGAAAGACACACATTGTAGAAAAACATAACTGAAGCTGTTTCACACGATAACAATATGGCTGTAGAAGGAAAAATAACACATCTAATAGCTAAGATGTGTTTTACTTGCATCTAGTACAGATCTGGGCATTTTATAGCCACCAGGCCACGTCTGGTCCTTTGGCTGTTCACGAGATTGATTGGATATTAGAAATCAAATGTAAATAAATGGGTGGGAGAAGAAGCCAAGTTCAGCCCGGCTCTGCACAGTTGCTGTTTGGTCCTTCAGTCAGCTGGTGGCTGTGGGAGGGCATGGAGAGAAAGACCCTATTTGCATCCATGTAGTATTCACTTCTTGCCTGGAGCAGCCTGAGGAGGCAGTGGAGGCGGTCATTGCATGGGGGGACCTGGGCTCAACCACCCACTGTTGTCTTGGTCAACATGTGACCTTGCAGGCGAGAGGGCAGAGCACAGCCAGGAACTATTGGTTAGTCCTCCAATAGTTCCTATTATGGCCCTTGAAAAATTACCCCTAATCTGGTATTAGGGTGATAGATAAATATTAGATAACATACAAGTTAATCATCTTTTTAGAGAAGAAATGGTTAATTAGTCGGTTGCCCACATCTGAATTTTGCCCTAGTGGTATTTTTATCTTGCGCAGTGGGGAGGTGAGATGAAGTTACAAAGTCCTATAAATCTCCCTGTACTTCCATAAAACAGTACAGTCAAGTTCTGCAAGTACCTGAAAATTATGAGGCCTGTATAGAGAAGAGGGAAGAAGAGCATGCACAGGATGACCTGACATATCCCATTATCGACACTCAGCTTTCCCCACCAAACTCTGGTTAAGAAGGCCTGAAAAGAGAAGTGACATTTTGAAAGTTAGATATCCTGGATATGGGAATCAGTTTGCAGAGAAGAATGAGACTGAACTCATCAAGGGACTTAGGATAAAAAGATATGGCTAAGTAATGGATAGCTAATTATGCAATACACATTGGCAGTGTTTTAACAGGACAGAGGAGGTCACCATGTGTGTAACCAAGCATGATACAAAATGCTGAGCTGAGCTATAAGCAAGGAATCTCGCCAAACCACAACAGAACTAGAAATACATAATCCAGGCATGAAGGGTCACTATGTGACAGCTTGACTCTATATTTCTGACTAGAAATATAGGCTTCCAAAATAGCATTGTTTTCTCTTGTTTTTTCCAAAATTTAAGAAGTCATCCCCCCCCCTGAATTTTTTTCTTGGATGTTTTTTTAAAGTGCTACTACTTAGAAATGTGATTAATTGTGTCAAAAATGTAACCTAAGTCTGTTTAGTGTGAAATTAGTCATGCTATCATCTGGTTTAGAAATACCGCTTATGAAACAGTGATGCCATTACATAATATTCCCCTATCCCCACTTCAACTTCACCTGCCTGCTCAACAATACTGTATCATCATTTGTTCTCCAATGCCATTTCACTGGTACAGAGTTTACGTACTGAAGTGCAAACCAGGGAACATCCTGTGCCATGAAGCTACAGAAGCAAATAACATAGGCACTTACAGAGTCGTGGAAAGAAAGCACTGGAATTATATTTAACATATTCATGTTTCTGTATCCTTGGGTTTTTTTTTAGCCACAGTAGGATGTGTGTGAGTGTGTATTAATACATAGACACTGCTGTCTAGGAGAGGTGGATCCTCCAGCACAATGTTTCTCAACCTGGAAGATAGGTGGACTTCAACTTCCAGAATTCTCCAGCCAGCTTGCTGTGAATTTTGGAAGTTAAAGTTCATGTCCATTGTCCAGGATGAGAAATACTGCAGGAGTAACAAAGGAAGGTGATCAAATTGAAAAGGAAATAGTAGGTGATGTTTGTTCAGCAATGCAATCATTCCTTAATAAAAGTTACATATGCAGAGGCTACATATTGAGCAACTGGCAATAAATAAGGCTGGCAAGAGCTACTTAGATCCATGTTTTTTAAAAAAAATATTCAGTAGGAATCTGACTTATCCTTTTAAAATCCATTATTCTGCACTCTGGTATAATAGAGAAAAAGTTTTGACCTTCTGGGTAATCTATTTTCAAAAGAGTACAGTCATATCCTCTCACAGTCTTCCAAAGCACAAATATTCCCACTTTTTTCCACCTTTTTTCATGTTATGTAGCTTGTAGTTCTCTGACGATCCCTGCTTTTTTTTTTCAAAGCTACTTCAATTCATCTGAATTCTTCTCAATGTGTGGTACCCAGTATTTAATATAACAGTTGAGACAGGATCTGATCCACATTAAATACAATGGCTTCTTTCCCTTGATTGGGAATCAAAACGAAAGTATTGTATTCTTTGTTGCCTGAAGGGATCATGAGAAAGTAAGTCACACCTGAACACCCCCATGAGAAACAAACTTCATATTTTTGCCTTCCAAAGCTAACTGGAGGCATGTGGTCTTTCCCCAGGCATCAGATATCCGGATCAGGAGATGCTGAGCTCTTTCTTCATCCTTCCGATAACATTCTGTAAAAACACCTAGAAAAACAAGTAAGATGAGAAATAGTTATAACTCCTATCACACTCCTGCCCCAATTGTTTCTATGGATTGCAGAGACGTTTTATCTTCAAAAGCCTATAAGGTAACTTATATTGAAAGAGAGCAAAGTTCCCTGGGCACACATAACTGATTTTTATAGATAAGGCTAAGAGAAGTAGAAAGGTATCAGTTATATTTTGTGGGGATTCCCATCATGAAAGATAACATCCATAATTCATATGTCAGTAACATTTATTTTTTTCACCACAAGCATCATTATTAAAGCCAGTACTGTATTAAAAACATTAACTTCAAGATAGGTCTTATTAGCCCATCTGATAACACAGACAATATTACTGTAGTCCTTGGTGCTCTCTGAGCTTGGCTGTTTTCTTGCAGGTCTTTCATTACCCAACTAGGTAACATCATTAGTAAGGAGTGGGGTTTGCTCTCAGTTTATATTCTGAATGCTTGCCCTGTCAGTGTTGGGAGTGGTCTTGGTGGTTTCATCCTTGATTAGGCTGTTATATACTGATCGACTGTTTATCTTAGTTAATAGTTCCTTGATTGGGTATTGTTTACTGCTTGAAGTTTCAGCAAGCAAAACAGGGAAACTCTATGATATTACTTCAGTACTGACATACTCTATGGAAATTATCCTATCTGGAATCAAAGCAGAGGTGGTATTCAGCAAGTTCTGACCAGTTCTGGAGAACTGGTAGCAGAAATTTTGAGTAGTTCAGAGAACTGGCAAATACCACCGCCTGACTGGCCCCACCCCCATCTCTTCTCTGCCTCCCATCGAGTCCCAGCTGATTGGCTGGGTCTTCTTTTGTTGCCCTGCACAGGGGAATGGAGCTGGAAAGCAGGTTAGTGGGGTGGGGAGGGAATGGGATTTTGCAGTATCCTTCCCTGCCACACCCACCAAGGCACGCCATGCCCACCAAGCCATGCCCACAAAACTGGTAGTAAAATTTTTTTGAATCCCACCACTGAATCAAAGCAACAGATGTTCACATGAATGGAGCTTGTTACAATTTCTTTGCTTGAAGCTGAAAGAGTTGTGTATGAATAGCTGTCCCAAGTATAACTGTAAGAAATTGAATAAAGCCTGGTTGAACGATGTGATAACAATACCTCGACAAAACCAGCCTAGACTCACCTACAGCTCGATGCTCATACTTCTCTGCCAGGGTTAGCATTTCCTCACAACTGTCAGTGTCATTTTCCTCCTTAGATAGTTCCTTCAGCATATTGCTGCAGGCTAATGCTGCTGCAATGCAATCTCGACTCTGAAGCAATGGGACAAGTTAACACAAAAACAATATTTCTGGCTCCAAGTAGAATTGTGTTAAATTTGAGAGTCTGTTTGAGAAGGGAGAATGCACATTCCCAGATTGCAGGGATTCTTGCTATTCTCAATTCTTTATATCCTGGCTATGGGCCGTTTCCCCTGAAATGATAATTCTGTGACTGAACTATACCTTTTCCAATTGCAAGTTACATTTATGTACTAATGAATCTCTGTTAATCACAGATATGGAAAAAGAACTTTCAATGGAAACATTTACAAAGCTACATTTACCAGATCTAATCTGCATTTTCAACTTTATCACAAAAGCAAAGGGCTTGGATTCAGCCCTGTGTAGAGATGGTTTGAAAGTATAAAAATTTACCTGAGTCCAAATTATATCAGCCAACTCCTTGCGGTTTTGAACAATTGCCCATATAAGTAAATCCCGCACAGGATCCATGCTGAATGGTGCCTGAGCAGCGGAACGCTTATAGAATGCTTGAACATGTACTCCTTGCACCTATGGGAAATGAAATATCATCTTTAAGAAAATAGCACTTCCTTGTACTTACGGGAAGAAAATAGCATCCTCAGAAAGACAATCAATGTCAGGGAACGGAGTAAAAGGCCTACATGAAAAAAGCACCCCTAATAAGAAAAGGACAGGACTGAGGCAGCAGCCTAGGAAAAAAGAAATGAGTTCCAAAACAGCATGGCTGACTTAGCACAATAGGAATGTCCTCATAAATCTTTTTGCTCTGTCCACTCTTGCAAAAAACCATTAACTATACTCTAATATTCCCTAATCACACTATTTCACACTATGATATTCCACTGCCCTTTCGGTTATCTTCCAAATCTGTTGGATTTGAATTTCCATAACAGAATAACCAGTGGTGGGATTCAATTTTTTTTACTACCGGTTCTGTGGGCATGGCTTGATGGGTGTGGCAGGGAAAGGATACTGTAAAATCTCCAGTCAGAGGCCAGTATTTGCTGGTTCTCATAACAACTCCAAATTTCCGCTACTGGTTCTCCAGAACTGGTCAGAACCTGCTGAATACCGCCTCTGAGAATAACCATGATATCCCAAACAACCTATTAGGGAAAAGTTAGTGTCCATGTTTGTATCTTTCTTCCATCAGATATTTCTCAGCAGAAAGAGAAATAAATTATTTGTCTCCAAAAATAGTCCTCAAACTGATCTCACATTTTAAAAAAATACCACTATTTGCCTTGTGCTACAAAATGAAACAAAAAATGTAAATCTATTCCTCACTAGACCTAAGGCTTCCAAGGATGTTTTGCAGAGACCAAAAGTTGTAATAAAGGGATTTTAGCGCAAGACCTTTTATGCTTTCAGTCTTGGAATAAATCGGGGAGTAGATGGGATACACTACAGAGAACGGAAGTAAATATAGCAAATGAAACCTAGATAGGCCAAATGAATATAGCAAGTATTGCAGAACACTCCAGCAGTTAGACTACTCAATTCCATTCCCCTTTCCTTCACTTTTTCATTTTCTCTCTCACGTGTTCCCATTCTGTGGTAATTTAGTAGAAATACAGACAAACCTCACTTTTGCTTAGGGAATTCCCATTATTTTTATACTGTTTTTCTATTTCTTTTTGCTGACTATTTCTGCATTGTTTATTCTGTCTTTCTTTCCTTTGCTTCTTTCATTTTCCATTGGTTTGTGTTAGTTTTTATGTTCTTTATAAAACTTTCAATAAAATATATTAAGAAAATGGAAGCAGGGTGATAGAAGAACAAACTGCTCTACAGTTCTGTATTGAAATCCAAAAGTTGTGGATGGTTTAAGGAATTGCTAGCATTAAAATGCACAGTACCTTGTTCTGGGGCACAGGAATAGGGAGATGATGTTTCTCAGTGTTCTTCAGCTTTGGATACAGATGTTGTGTGAAATCTCCCAGCAGTTCTCTCAGCACCTGGGATACATGATGCAGCTGGATCCTTGGCATTTTGGAGATGGCAGCACGCTCCTTCTCTTCCAGCAACACTTTCTGCAGCTTCCCATGGAAGACACTGGAGGGTGCCATGTTTTCATAGAGATAGAGTAAAGTATCCCATGTAACAAATTCCTTCAACTGTATGCCTTGCTCCAAAAACAGCTTCACAAACTCTGGTTTGTTTGCTATGAGGGCAGCTGCCATCATTGGATGTAGATCAAAAGGCTGTTAAGCCAGGAAAACAACCAGAATGAGACAATATCAACACAAATAAAATTGTTCTCCCCATGATAGGGAGAAAAGGGAAAGGAATAAAAATAGAAGTGCAAAGGTAAGGAGGATGCATGCATGAGTCAGGTCAGCCTCTGATAATGGCAAGATACTGCATTCCCTGCAGCAGAGAAAGCAAAAAGAAAAAAAGATAAGAGGAAGGAATTGGCTACCCAATATCCAGGTATTCTCATTACCATTTAGCCCACATTTACTTTTCGTCAACATGCATTCATATCCAAGGTGTACAGCAAAAATACTCTCTTAAAAGTCTTTTGTTTGATGTACAAACATAAAGGACAGGACAACATCTAAGGACAATGTCTATAGCATCAGGAACTGCGTCCTATTCCAAGAAATAACTACTAATTATAGACAATTATACAGTGTATAAATATTACACTAACTGTGCAATATTTATACACTGTATAATTGTCTATAATTAGTAGTTATTTCTTGAAATAGGATGCAATTGCTGATTATGTTAGTACTAAGACTGGAAAATAAATGTTCAGCGAATAACTTGGTAAATTGGTGATATAAGGGAATTGTATCTGTATGTATGATGCTAAACTAAGGCTGATTTTCCTGTAGCTTGTTTAAAAAATCGTAATCAGTCTTGCCAACAAGCCAACTGACTTTAGGTTGCTATCTCAATTTCTGGTTTGTTTCATCCTGAAAAAATCTAGAAGAGAGGAAAAAAAGAATAAACCAGAATTGTGGGTTCAGATAGATTAACAAACCATGATATTATAAATCAGAATTCATTGACAGAAGCAAGCCATAATTTCAAACTAGCCTTCCTTCTTGCAATGGATTCCCCTCTCACCAAACAAATTATAACTTAGTATTATATATATATTTGGCCATCAGGACGATATAATGCAGATCGTGTTCTGAGAGGCAAAGATACACAGAGTGATTGCAGTGCAAGGAAGGTCTCAACTGACAAGCTTGCTGTCAAACCAAGCTTGGTCCTCTAATCTCATCTTGTAATTACACAGGTAACAGAGGACATGCTCACTATCAGCATGTCATCTGACGTCTCCCCACCTTCCATTCATGATCTTCGGTGAAAATCTCACTCCTGGCAATATCCACTCTGTTCCATGCCACTGCAAGCTTCAGCTGGTAATCCCAGTTTTCATGGCCAAAGTGATCATGGCACCGGGAGGCTACAACAGAAGAAAAATCAAGAAAAGTTTTGGGCTGCAGCACAGTGTTATTTACTGGCTTATTGCCAGGCTCCAAAAACCAAGCCATGTTTTGATTCTTCCAAGGAGATTTTTTTTGTTCCACTCCTATAGTCATATACTTACCAAAGTAATCCATGTAAAGCAGGGGCATTAAACTCAAGGCCTGGGGGGCCACATCTGGCCCCTGGGGTGCTTAGATCTGGCCCACGGAGCTGCCCTGGAAACAGCAAGACTGGTCCACAGTGCCTTTGCCTGTGAAAACAGAGCTCAGGAGGGCTGCACACAATCCTCCCGAGCTCCGTTTTCGTTGGCAGAGGGTTGCAGGAGGCTGAAAACGGAGCTCCAGCAGAGTGCTCAGGCCACCACAGGTGCCCCTGACACAAGTGACGTCAAGCTGCCCATGCCCACCCTGGCCCCTCAAGGTCAAACATAATCCTGATGCAGCCCTCAATGAAATCAAGTTTGACACTCCTGATGCAAAGCATATGTTCTGGGAACTTTTAGGGAGGAGCTAACTTTACTTGTTTCTCTTACACAAACTATCTGAGCTGAGTTCTCTCTTGCTCCTCTCGAATGCACCCCCTCACTCCTTGGAATGCAGACTACATTCCATCACTTCTATTTACATAATTCCAGAATCCAACAGGAAACTTTAGGAAAATAGAAATATTTGTCTTGCAATGCAGATGTGCTCCAGGATCAGGATTCTCCTCCAGGAAATGGTTCTGGGAATTTATTTCATATGTACAGTACCTAATACTGCTTTCCAAAAGTTTAAAAGATTTTCTACCATAAATGTTTATCTAATGCTGCTATTTATAAAGCATGTTTTCATGCTAATATATTTTTAATCATACATTTTGCACAATCAAATAAATAAGGATTTCACTATTTTGTTCTGAAAAAGTTGCTAATAAAATCTCTATTACCCATGAGAATAATGATTAGGGTTAGGCAACCTGGCATGTTCTAATAATTAAGTTCCCAGATAATAGTCCAAACAACATATTTGGAGAATCCCAGACTGCCAATTACAATTAATAATCGATGAAACAAATAAAGCTTTTAAGCATTTCTGCTAAATCATCTTTTAGTTTTCTAGGTTTCATTCACCCACTGGTTGCAATGTCACCATCCGAGTGTGATATTGGGCAACAGTTTTACCACTGCTTATTTGTAATAGGCATGATTTTGGGCCACTCACACAAAAATAAATAAATAGCTATAATGTTCTATTTTGTCCTGCTTTCATAAAATTGAAAAGGAGTATTTAGGCCATAAAGTCCAACTCTCTGTTCAAAATGAGCCCAGGTTATATATCCTATTTTAGTAATTGCTGTTCTCACCTTTGAGCATTGCTTGCAAAATGGCCACATCAATATCTTGCTGTCCATCCTTGCCTTCCCTGAAGATGGTCAGGAGCTGCTTGTTTCGTACAATATCTTGGATCTGAAAAGAAAAAGATAATATACAATTCTAATGAACTGATCTTTCACAATTTTATTTAATGTAAGAATTAATTTTCAACTTTTTCACTTTTATACTCTCAATCACTCTTGTTTTTCTTTTTAAACCCTGAAACTGATTCTCTGTTTTTCCTAACACATAATGAAAAATACAGCCCCTTCGGACTGAGGATATATGAATATTTTCATACATTGTTCTTTCAAGTATTGAAACACTTCATATACATAAAAGTGACAAAAGTCACAACTGCTCTTTATAGGAGGCCAGTGTATCTTGAGCATACAAGGCTGGCAGAGGACCAGTTATCTAAAGCTAGCAATAAGTGTGTAGAGGAGGTAAGAGCCTGACAAGCTGAATTTATGGTCAATATGCCATGCTGGTTACATTTATCTATTCAGTGCCAACTGAAGACATTTGCTGCCAACTTGAGCTGTGCCAACTCAAGATATTTGAATCAGACCACAGATCTGGCTTCTGTCTCCAATGAAGGGAAGCGCATATTCCTGCAGGAGTAATTGCTGAAGTCTGCTCTGTCTGGAAACAATGGAAGAGGTTGAAGCAAAGCAGACACTAACTCAGAAGGGGAGAGAACTATCCATTTACTCTCTCTTTTCACTCTCTTCCTTTTTCCAACACTCACTTTTCCATCTTTCTTTCTCCTAATACAACAGGCTGCACTGGTATAACAGGCTACTCTTATCTAAGACCTACGTCAATGCAGGTTCAATTCCTGCTTTCTTCTATCCTACTGGTACAACAGGCTACTCTTATCTAAGACCTACATCAATGCAGGTTCAATTCCTGCTTTCTTCTATCCTACTTCCACATTACTTCCACCACCCGAAAGGGCTCTTTTACAAAATACACCCACTAGGATCAGTGCTATTTTACATCTGATCAAGTACAGGCTTCTAATACAGTAAGGTTTCCCTTAGGAATTATAGAAAGGTAACAGCCATCTTGAAAGGGTCCATAAAGTGGGATATGAACCAGTGGTGGGATTCAATTTTTTTTACTACCGGTTCTGTGGGCCTGGCTTGGCGGGCATGGCAGGGGAAGGATACTGTAAAATCTCCAGTCAGGGGTGGTATTTGCCGGTTCTCCGAACTACTCAAAATTTCCGCTACCGGTTCTCCAGAACTGATCAGAACCTGCTAAATACCACCTGTGATGTGAACTATATATTCCCAATTTATATACTGTATATCATGCAAATGTCAACAAGTAGTTCACAACCTATGGTACAATATCAACAAAATTTGAATAATGGTCAAACTTACCTTTTTAGTCCATTCCACGATCTTGTTCTCTGTGAACAATTCATAGCTGTCCTTGAAAAATATACTCAATTTTTTCTGAATTAGGCAAATGTTTATTTTGTGGCTGGGAAGATTAGACACTTGAGCAATGACATCGGCTATTCGACCAGAGCCTTCCACAATCACACATGGCGTGCCATTATTGATTGCATTATAAATTGTCTACAGACAAAATAATTGGAATAAGTCAGCATTTGAGGTCATGTAATTTCATAGGGCCAATGAATTAAGTGACAATACAATGTCATATAGCCTCTGGATAACCTACAGTTTTTGCTGTTTTCATCATCTGCAATTTGAATTGATAACAAAGAAATTTCTCCCAACCTACGTAGATTTCAGTGGAAGGTAAAAATATCTTTATAAAGCTGCAGCGACCAGCAAGCACGCACACTCTGGATTTATCAGGGATAAATTTTCAAGGTTAAATTAATTAATCGTTTTGTTTGGGTAACATTTTGACTACAGTTAAGCATCAATTATGGAATGCTTGGTAATATTTATCAATTTTAGCAAAATATTGGGCAAAATACTCTATGTTATAATTAATAGCAAGTTAGTTCAATGTGGACTAGAAGGCATTATAATGATGTAGCTACTGTATGTTCAGTAACTGGGTCAAAACACTTATTTTAAGAATTATAATTAATTAGTTAATGGTTTCTCATCTAACTGGAAGGAGGTGATGCATTATAAGCATTATAAGCTATTCTTGAACATTTTTAATTATTTGGATAAAGATTTGCAGATGAGTCAAATTGGGTAGAACACCTAGAAAACAAATAATGTTCGAAATGATTGTCTTGACTGTAATTCAGCAATGGGCTGAAAATAGCAGGATAAAATTTAACAAAACAAGTGCAAAGTTTTTCTACTAACTAATCAAAAAAATCAAATGCACAAATATATGTATAGATAATAACACTTGTGAAAGAGATCTGGCAATAGTGTGGGCAAACTCAACTTTAAACTACTTCAGCCAACATACAGTTTTCAAATTACAGGAAATAATAGTGCTACTTTATTCCCTAACCTAGTAGTTGGTTAGATCCCATCTCTAGTTCTGTATCTACCTGGGCACCAACTGTGAGTCATAATTCTAAGGAATTGGAATAAGAAAGGGCAATGAGAATGATCAGAAAGCTAACAAGTAATTCCTATGAGGAGAGACTGAAGAAATGGGGCATGTTTAGCTTTGAAGAGAAGATAGAGTTGAAACCATACTCTTCGAATCCATTAAAGAATATTACACAAAAGACATTAAATTATAGGAAAGCACATTTTAATGTAATGTAATGTTAAGATTTTTTCCTCTAACAAAATGGAACTAATATTAAAAAGAAATAGTGGGCTCTCTTTGTTGGATATATTTATATGGAGGCAAGGCAGAGACAACTGCCTGAAATATTTTAATTTGGATTTATATTGAGTTTGGAGTCATGGGGTTCAGTGTCTAAATGCCCCTCTTCCTGATCTATGATTCTATCATCATCAATATCAGCATGACTGGCTTGTCACTGTCCCTTGTCTACAATGGTTCCTCTTGTCCTTTTAGCTCATTGAGAGCTCAACAGGATCTTAACTTGCTTTCATTTCTCTTGAGCAACTACCACTGTTTAAAACCTTATACAACAACAAACTCCTAACTATCCTTCTCTTAGAATCTCCTCTCTGTGTTATACTTTCTTAGGAATTAGCAAGAACTCCATACAGCCATATTGCCTTCATAACCACCCAGTTACCCTGACAGCCTACAGAGTACTTACATCAAGAGTCCCAGGGCCACCCTCCAGCACTACACAGACAATAGGTATTTTAATGGCAACTCCTGTGGGGAAAAAAAGGTTCATGTATTTAGGGGTCCTCCTTTCCTGGTATTCGTTTCAACTGGATATTGTGATGCACATAGATATTGATCCAGATTGGTAGTTATAAAACTAATTAGTGTTAAGATTCTAAAAAAATAGATTAAAAAACAATAACATATTAGTTACTTATAGCAATAGAATAAAAATAAACCCAGTCTCAGAGTTGTAGGTCTTTAGTCTGTTTCTAATAGTCAGTCCCCCCTTTTTTAGAAAAAGATAGCATAAACATTAAGTTGATGAACAATAAAAACAGAAACACAACTTATTTTATAAAATTGACAAATTATCTATTATTATTGACCCTTATCATTTAAGTTTCCATAGCTACAAACTTCCTAATAATTTGGCATCAGAATTAGTGAGTCTTCTCCAGATTGTGAAACTGAATGGAAGAAATTACATATGAAAAAGAGACACAGTATGAACATACCGTAATCTACATCTCCAATAGCAGTACAGGTAGTTCTTGACTTGCAACCATTCATTTAGTGACCAGTAAAAGCAGCAGAGAAAAATGTGACTTACAATCAGTCTTTGCACTTATGATTGTAATAGCATCCATACAATCACATCAACAAAATTTGGATGGTTGGCAACCAGTCTATATTTACAATAGTTGCAGCATCCTGGGGTCATGTGATAGCCATTTGCAACCAGCCCAACCAGCTTTCAACAAGCAAAGTGGGGAAGCCAGATAGGAGAAGCCAGATTCACTTAACGACCATGTGATTCACTTAACAATGGCAATGGTTCTCTTAACAACCATGTCAAAAGAAGTTCTAACAACCACCTTGCTTAGCAATGAAAATTCTGGTCTCAATTGTGGTCACAAGTCAAGGACTGTCTGTACTGTCCTAATTATACCCTCTTACAACATTCCCAACTTGATATCCTCCAGATGTATCTATTAATTTAAGTAATTACTTATTAATCCTAGAATTCCAGCTTTTTTGAATATCTAAATTTCTCATTTGAAATCAGCAAGGTTTAAGTGGAGAATTCATCAATAGGAGCTGATCCAGATGCCATGATAAGCAATACAAATGCAAAAAATAGTTTAGTGTTCTTGGCGTATAACATTTTTATCAGCAACAAACTGCCATTACCTCCTTTCACCTTAGTTTGCTCTGAAATGTATTTCTCAAGTTTGCTCCTCAAAGGAATCTCCACCCCATATTTCCCGTGTGTTCCATCATCCACCAGAATGAAGTGTGAATGATTGCTATCCAGGCAAGAAAGACTTCCTTGAGTTTCCTCATCTAAAATATATTCTGCAGGGAAGCTACCCTAAAAATAAACAGGTTGAAAAAAAACCACACAAAATTATATATTTATTGATCAGATTTATTATCCCATCATCCAGCAGTTAAAAGTGGAGTATATACCGTTCCCCATACTTACTTTTCCCCACAACTACCCTGTTTTTCTTTACTGAGAATGAGTGGCTAATCTAAAGTTAGCCAGAAAATATCAATAACTTATGTGGCATCTAGGTTTTCCTGATGCCAGCCTAACACTTCACTTGCTACACCAACTGTTTCTCTTATCTGGGGCTCTATATTTGCTTGAGTTAGAATTTCCATACACAAATTTTCATTCAAATAATTCTGAAAAGCAAAAGCCCGTTCCTTATTTATTTATATAAGCTCATTACACAAACTCTGTGCAGCTCGTATAGAATAAAATTTGAGATAGTATATTTTTAAAGTATAACTCTAACTCAAAATCATAAATATAATCAAATATTTAAAATTTAATGAATGCAAGGGTATTAAAAGTTGATTTGAAACTGTAATTATTTAATCTCCAAAGATTTGTTGAAATGATAGTATTGAAGGGAATATTTAAATTTCTGGAGGCTGAATGTTTCAAAAGGAGAAGATCAATACTGAGAAGACCTACTTCTGGGCTCTTGTTCCTGTCATCTCCTGAAAAAGGGATCTATAGCATTGCTTCTTGGGATGAAAAAACAGAAGAGTGATTCCATTTGGAAGAGACAGTTCCTAGATAACTCCTTATAGATTTTATAGATGATCACCAGCTATTTAAATTATATTAGAAATGTACTGGTAAACAATATAACACTTGCAGCATTGGTGTCATACAGTTGAGGTGGCTCATACCTACTAGCATGTTGGCTGGTACACTTTGCACCTATCGCAAATTCCAAGAAAACATCAAAAGCAGCCCTAAGTACACAACTTGCAGTAATCCAGTCCTGATTATCAAGAGTTACTGCCACCAAACTTTCTTACCTCAAAAGGTCCCAAACTGACATATCAGTAAAGGTACCCCTGGATAACAATTGCTATGGAAGGAGATGAGAGTTCAGGAGAACCCAGAAGTTGTTTACCTGCTCCCTCAAGGGAAATGTAATACCACCTGAGTGATAGTATTGCATGAATAGCAACTCCATTGGAGCAAGCAAAAACTCAAACACTTTTTCCTTACCATTGCTAATAGGATCTAACTCAGGGTGGAATGAAACCATAGTGTCCCACACATTGCAGATGATCCCAGAAGGAGACCATGGTAAAAGGTTATCAAATAGAATTGAGAGATAAAGTAAGACCAGAAGGGCAATTTCTGATTTTTATATCCTTATTTGAAGTCATCCACAAGACTAACCAAAGCAGTTTCCATTTTTTGGTGACTGGGCTGAACCTTGACTGAAGGAAATCAATCCAATCATCTTTATCTAGGATCCTGTAGGGGATAACAGAAGCTGGGGCATAGTGAAAAGGGGGAATCAGACTAGAATCCCTATGTAGCCATAAGAGAACTAAGTTCAACTCCCCTTGAGTGCCACTGACCCTAATGTAACTCCGAGCAAATGCTGACTGTTAGTTGAGAGGATTCTTGTACATAGGCTTTTAGCAATAAATCAACTTAATTGAACCTTTATGGTCCTTCATGCCTTACAGATCCTTTGTGTCTCTTGTCCAACCACCTTCTACAACATACGGAAATTGTCTAATACTGCTGGATTAAGAGATACCCTCATTTGGCAAGGGAACATCGCCTCCATTAAAAGTGAATATAATTCCTTCCATAAAAGTTCATGTCATCTCTAGCCATATGAAGAAATTAGGTGATACATAGATCCAGCCTTCAGATTGTCAAATTCATAATAAATGAAATGCTAAGAATCACACTGGTATTTTTTCCAGTTTGTTTCATACTCTTTCTTTTTGCTTACTGGAATAGGATGCATTTTATCAAGACTAAGAATAAAAATGCCATCCAGCTCTATGAGGTTCTGTTCCTACATGTGATAGGACACAGTGAGTAGACTATTACTGTGCTAACTGAGCTACATCCAGGTAGATAATGTTATTCATGGGTATCAAAGATGTAGAAACCCAGAGCCTAGCATTGTTTTCATCCCACCATTGTCTTGCTTCACATCCTTAATAGTATAGAGAAGTACAAAGTTGTATAAGAGATGCTGATTTTTGCTATACTGAATTCATTCTATCTCATCTCAATCTACTTCCCACATCTTTTTTTCCCAAACTAAATCCATATAGAGTTGTACTATGAATACATTTCTTCTAATAGCATGGTCTGAAAATCCTTTTGGCTCACCGTGCGGCAGATGAGACTGTTACGGTTGTGTACTGTCCCCCAAGATGCAATGCCAATAGCAACAATATCGCCTTTGTAGGTACTGCTCATAATAAAATCCTGTAGTGCTTCCCCTACATGCTTCATCACACCAGTGTGAGAACCACCTGTGATGATCCAGGCACCTGTAGAACAAAGATCTTAAATGTAAAAATAGACAAGTTGCTTTATTTCTCTACTTTTTTCCCTCTGGGCCATGAAGAAATATTTTATTTATTTTTTAAGCAGAATATGTGCCTAAGTTGTTTTAGGATAGGTCAGCAATTTTTTACCTTCTTCTGTGTATTTTAAAAAAAAAAACTCTAGACTTAACTCACAATTTGCACTTTAATTAATTATTGAATTTTGTGTGCTTTTAATTATGGTAGATTGTTTTGGGACCCCATCTGGGCTGAAAGCTAAAATAGTTTAGATAAAGAAATAAAACTTCAACATACCCTATTAGTTTTGGTCAGTGATTGCTTTACCTGCTGTTTCTACCACTTTGGCAAGCCCCTGACGGAATATATTCTTCAGTCTCATCTTCATACTGAAATTTTTAGCTCCTCCTGTCACTGATATTAAGAGGTTGGGTATATCAAGCCCCCAGTACTGTGTAATCAACTGGTAAAGTGTTTTTGGAGAAGTGCTGGAAGAGACTCGCACATACTACAAAACAGAAATCAAACATAGCAGGAATATATGATCATTCCACATAGTAATCACTACACAATCATGCCCAGAACCATCTAAGACCCAAGCTGAGCTATGTGGGATTTTTTTTATTCAAAGTGACTTGAGTCTTGTGAATCAATGCAATATTCCAAAATATAGTGTATAAGTAATAGTGATGCAATAGGAAACAATAGAGGGAATCTTCTGAAAACTTTCTAGAGAAATCTATTCTATGCTTGCCAGGTCTTCTCATCAGAGGCAACTCTTTACTTCCTACTTTCCCATTTCTCTGAGCATGTCTAAATGAGGATAAGAAATTTCAGTCTAATAGGGTGACAGAGAGTTTATAGAACATGCTATTTAAAGATACAATCAAGGAGATTCTAGTTGGGATATGCAGTGCTTTATTGTAGATTTAAGGGAAAACAGTGAATTGGAACAAGCATTGGTGTGGACATAATATGTTTTAGTAACTCTAACAGGGTGTCCAACCTTGGCAACTTTATGACTTGTGGACTTCAATTCAGAATTCTCCAGCCAGCATAAGCATGGCTGGCTGGGGAATTCTGGGAGTTGAAGTCTATAGCTCTTAAAGTTGCCAAGGTTGGACACCCTTGCTTTAAAACAAAAGCATCCTTTCCTAAGATTGCACTGCAACTGCATGAGTTTGGAACAAAATGTGTCTGCTTTAAGGTATTGCCAAGAGGTATTATGTGAATACTATGAATCTGAAGCACTACATACATAGCCATAAGTTCTAGGTAATAAATCCAGAAATGATACAAGATATCTGTGGTTGGGCCTTATCACTTCAGAAAAGGTTATAAGTACATAAAATTCAGTAGTATATAAAATTTCAGAAAACCCACTACAAGTAGTCTTCGACTTACAACCGTTCTTTTAGTGACCATTCAAAGCTACAACAGCACTGAAAAAAGTGACTGTTTTTCACACTAACAACCATTGCAATATCCCCATGGTCACATGATCAAAATTCAGACGCTTAGCAACTGAGTCATATTCATGAAGATTGCAGGGGTCCCAGGGGTCATGTGATCACCTTTTGAGACCTTTTGACAAGCAAAGTCAATTGGGAAGCCAGATTCACTTAACAACCCTGTTATTGCAGTGAGTCACTTAACAACTGTGCAGGAAAGGTCATAAAATGGGGCAAAACTCACTTAACAAATGTCTCACTTAGCAACAGAAATGTTGGCCTCAATTGTGGTCTTTGGCCAAGGAGTACCTGTATATCTTCCTTGAGGGTACACTTTCAATCCCAAGTTAACTCACCTTCCCAACCTTTTGCCCCAAGCCTGTAAAACTAATGTCCCCAAAGGCATCTGTTGGCATTTCCTGGACGTGTCTTCTGGGGTCCCATTCCTTCCCTTGGAACATGACAGGTTTTATGGCTTCCTCTAAGTGCTCTTCCCTGAGATAGCCACATTCACATGCCACTTTCCTGAACAAAAGCACAAGTAACTTAAAATTAAATATTGAAAATGCTGTAGTGACATAAACCACATAAAATTTTCGAGTGTGCAGAGAGCTGCAATATTTGCAAGCACAATCAGCACAAAATAGATTGTTCAAATTGGATATGAACAATTATTTTGAAATGTCCAATGTGCTTATAACAATTTTAATTAGCAAGAATAAAGATAGCAAGTGGCAAGCCGATTGGGAATTCTGCAAAATGCAATTCAATGCATCAGATGATGGAAGATTAACTACTGGAGTTCTCTAAATTCCCAGTCATTACAAAAGTAAACATCAGTACTACTCAATATGCCTATGCTAGGTTTATTTACTTGCATTTCAAGTGTTATTTGAATATTTTGGGCATATCAGTTTTATTTATTTATACACATTAGAGCAGAGGTCTCCAAACTTGGCAACTTTATGTGTATATATAAATTTTATTGAATTTACAATTAAAAAAATAACATAACAACATTACATAAGAAACAGAGAGAGAAAAAGAAGAAAGAAAGAAGAGAAAGAGAGAGGAAAAAAAAACAAAAAAAAACGCTCGGTCTTGCGACCGAAAAAGGAGAAAAAGAAGTATAAAAGAGAGAAAAAAAACCAAAGAGACGGAAGAAAAAAGAAAATACGTTAAAACCAGACAGATATTCTTTTTGACAGTCTACAAGATCCAATTCTCCTACCTTACTTTAAATATACACATCTTATCACTATTTATGGTTATTTATGCTTATTTATGCTCATTGAACAGTTTATCTCTGATATAACCAATTATACCACGCATTCCAATTATTATCAAATGCTGAAGACTCTTTATTTTTAAGAGCTATGGTTAAATTGTCCATTTCTGCGCAGTCACATATTTTCTGAATGACCAATTGATCTGTAGGTAAACGGGATGATTTCCAGCACTGGGCAAATGCTAATCTGGCTGCAGTTAGAATATGAATTATTATATATTTCGTCTTTTTAGGAAAATGTTTATCAGAGATCCCTAGTAGGAAGAACTCTGGTTTGTATTCAATTTGTTCTTTGGTTATCTCCTCCAGCCATTTTCTAATTTTTTGCCAGTATTTCTGGGCTTCTTTACAGGTCCACCACATATGAAAGTAGGTTCCCTCTATGTTTTTACATTTCCAACATTTTGGACTAGAGTTTGGGTTCATTTTCGCTAACCTCGAAGGGGGTAAGTGCCATCTATATAACATTTTATACATATTTTCTTTGTACGCCGCAGATTTCGTAATCTTAATGATTCTATTCCAGATCTTTTCCCATTCTGTTAATGTAATGCTTCTTCCAATATTCCTACTCCACATTATCATGTTCCCTTTCACTATCTCTTGCTCTAATTCTACCTCCAATAAATATTTATAAAATTTAGAGATATTCTTTTTATTTGATCCTAATAAGATTTTATCTAAGAGTTGTAATTTGCTATAGATTCCATGTAATTTGCTATAGATTCCACAAACTTGGCAACTTTAAGACATATTACAATGCTGGCTGAGGAATTCTGGGAGTTGAAGTCCACAAGCCTTAAAGTTGCCAAGTTTGGGAACCCCTGCATTAGAGCTTCCTTTCTCACTTTTAAAAATAATGCCAGATGATTTTTCTAAAATATTCCAGTGTTCCTTAGCCTTTTAATCATTTTTATTTGACTGAAAATAGTTTAGCATAATCCTTCATCATGTTTCTCTCTGAAACAAAATTCATTAACACAATTCCTTTATAAAAAGAAGCAATAAACTTTGCTGTCAACATCAGAAATATCAAAAGCTGCCTCCAATTATGTGTTTTGTAGTGATTTTCCACTTGCTGAAATATTATTGGAGTTGTCTGCAGTATCACAGCTTTTCTAAGCTAAAATGTTCTAACATTCCAGCCTTTACTGAGTCTAAACCTCCCTGATTAATTCTAGTTGTCCTCTTTTGAAGTTCTCCTAGTGATAAAGTTAATCAGAGTAGTTTTCTTACCCAGAATCTGACAACTGTGACCTTTCAATAAAATAAACACATTCTTTTTTCTGAATGTTTTCAGGGATCCATAAGCGGAGATTTTCCTATGGAGAGAACAGGGAGCAAAAGATTAGTTCTTACTTAAAAAGCATAAAATCGTCTCCTTCCCAGAGCAAATTCATATTCTATGCATAAAACACTAGGGTTTTTGTACTGCTTTTTGAGCAAAAACAATTCCAGTATTACATGTAGTCCATTATTCTTTAAAAGAGTAATGATTATCACATCTAAGGACAGCAACAAGCATACAAAAGTATAAACTTTATATAGCTAACTACAATATAATTTTACACTCTAGTGGCAACAATGAATTTGAATATCCCTCCTATTTTCTTTTTCTTTCCCATCCTTTTCGGGTCTAAATTTGTAATTTCCACCCCATAGTAGGTCAGCCCCCAAACAAACCATCATCTAGCTCTTCCTTTTTCTTGAACTTGCCTTTTCATTTATGCTGGGAGAGAAGTGAGCCCTGCGCCTGCTTCTATTGGAAGGGCTGTTGCTTCTTCTGAAGTTGGAAACCATGGTGATATCATAGTAGCTCTCAGGATCAAGAGGATAGCCTTCATCATGGTGGATCTTATTCAGCTCCGTTGGTATTCGCAGACCAGGCCCAGCCATGGGTACATTTGTTAGATCAATCATCAAAGTTGTTCAAGTACATTTGGAAGAAAAATTCTTGAAACTACCACCTCAGACTTCATGGACTGCAAATGCTGTATTCTGCATATATTTCATAAAACACCAAAAAGACATATGTTTCTTTTTTCTTTTTAAGTCCCAATTGAAGCCTCTCACAAAGACCTCATCTTTTAACTTAAGAATTTGGGATATATTTGTCATATTTTTGTGTGTTCAGAGAATATTGTTTTTTAATGTTCTGTCAGGTCAACCTTGACCCCTAGTGATTATATGGATAAATCTCTGCAGTTTTCTTAGCAATATTTGTGGAAGTGGTTTGTCAGCACTTTCTTGGTACTGGACACATACGTGGCTTCTTTGCCCAAGGTGAATTACCACTTACAGTCTCCTGGTTTCTAATTCTTAACCATTAGATCAAACTGAGTCTGCTATAGAAACTACAATAGCAATAGCAATAGCAATAGCACTTAGACTTATATACTGCTTCACAGTGTTTTATATAGTCATCATATTTCCCCCAACAATCTGGTTCTCATTTTACCAACCTTGGAAGGATGGAAGGCTGAGTCAACCTTGAGCCTGGTGAGATTTAAACTGCCAAATTGCAGGCAGCCAGCAGTCAGTAGAAATAGCCTGCAAACCACTGCATCGTGACAGTTCTATATAACAACATATATATGTCACTAATACCTTTTGTATTTAGGTTGAATGGGTAGTCAGTGACTCTAAGACCAGAGAGAATAGTAGTGTCATAAAAGTACAATAATTACTAGCTTCAAAGTCATCATGTGTGTTCTAGAAATAGATCATTAATTTGTGGAAGAAAAAGAAAAAAAACAAGTTAAATTGAAGCTACATATTCATTAGCACACTAATAAACAACCCAAGGATGGTACATTTTATATGACCTCATTTTATTCTGCAGAATTTTCTTATTTAGCTGACTAATACCTGTGAATAAACTGCCAAATTACATCAAAATGCCATGGGGTGTCATTGTTATGTTCTGATTAGGAAAGCCTGTTAACTTGAAAAGTTATTCCCAATATTCAGAGAACATAAATACTGTATGTGTGGAAACCACTTTGATCTACAGGAATAAATATCTGCTTAAGACAATAAAAGAAAAGAGTTAATTGAACACATATTTCGCTTTTTTGGACAGAAAGTATTTGGCACCCTCACTTATCAGAAAACTAAACCTCATATCAGATCTTTATTACAGTCATAGATTAGCATAAACTAAGCATAATTTTAGGCTCTTCAAGTTTCATTAAGTATTATATATTTTTTTTCATTATGTTCTCCCACTACTTAAATTCATTCAATACAATCAGAAGGAGATTTGACATTTGGATATTTAAATGATTGGCATATGCAATATGCCAATTGTGCCTAGCCTCTTTGTGAAAGCTTCTTTTTAAAGCTTATATTAGATAGGGCTGTCATTAGTTCCTTGATATGGAAAAAACAGGTAGCTATCCAAAGCTAGTTTGCATAATGGCAATAGACTTAGAAAAATAATTCATACACTGTAACCCATGAAGAAAATAGAAACACAAGTTTATTTACAGTGACATGTGCAGTAAATCACAATGATGGCCAAAAGAAAGCAGGTGCTTCTAACAGCACACATAAGTGATGTCATTACATAAAACCCATTATTCCTGATATATTTACATTCCAAAAATCTTGTGCAAGGACTGATGTCATGGTATCTGTGTGATAACATCATCCCTCTTTTTGCAGATGTCCATGCTTGTTTCAAATACAGAAGTAGTTCATATGTAAATACCTCTTTCTTCAGCGTTGATCAACTAACCCCCTTTGAGCCATTTGTATATCATGGATTCAACAGACATGAATTTCACAGAAGATAAAAATACTTTCAGTACAATTTTCAAAAAAACTTAACAGTTGGTGCTAAAACGCTATTTCAAGTAGTTACTAAATATAATATTTCACTTAAATATATATATTCCACCACAGGGAATGACTTTACAACCACATTACTTAGCAAAAGAAATTCCAGTCCCAGTTACCATCATTGTACTGTTTCATGCTGCACTATGTTTTATGCTGTATTTTAACTTCTTTCCAAACTGCTGCCCATCTCAGTCAATGACTCTAGGCAGTTTACAATTTAATCCTTGTAGTCTTACTCCATTAACCTCACAGTCAACCATGAAGGTTAGCCATGTGCTAGAAAGTACAGTAGTCAGGATTCCCAGGTGGGAAGGCCTGCTTTTCAGTGGGCGAAGAGGTAGTGGAACTCAGTCAGCCGAAAGAGGGTTAAAACAGCTTACTTTTCTCAGAGTATATCTGTAGTTATGTATTAGTTGCTTTAATCTGGCAAGATTCTGTCTGTAGGTGAAGAACAATAAAAGAAATTGCTCTAAAGTAGCTACGTGTTTCTTCTTAGTTCTTTTATGTGTTTATGACCAACTGTCCACTGATTTATTTTCATTTGGTTCTCTCACAGTATTTATGCTAATTTATAATCATACATTCCAAGTAGTCAAGTATTTTATAAAAAGTATTCCTGCAATCATGGCTGAGACATTGCAGTTTTTCCAGGGATATCTACAGGGGTGGGTTTCTACCAGTTCTGTCCACCTCTGTAGAACCGGTAGCTCTGAACAGCAGTAGACACAGAACCGGTTCTATGTCTGCTGATGTTTTTGCCTCCCACCCCCCAGCCACCCGGGCTCTTACCTGATCTTTATTTCCTGATTTTTCAACTTCAGCTGCCGAATGAGGCACAGATGCAGTTAAAAAAGTAGGAAAAGAGGGCTGTTTCAAAGGCTGCATCTCTGCACACAGCATTCTGATGACGATTTACAGGCGCTCTGCTCACAGCGTGCAGGGAAGCTTGTAAATCCCAGGTAGTTAACCCTGTTCTATCCCACCCCTAGATATCTAGTTAAATTAATAACTTAAACAATTGCTATAGCAATAATAACAATAGCTATGAAACTGGACTTCAGAACATAGAGTTGGCCTTGTTTATGCTGCATCTTTTAAGACGCCATAACATGGAACAATATTATCAAAAGAAGCCAAATGGTAGAAGATAATATATTTAACTATTTGTGCATTGCTGTGCTTTGAACATGGATTATGTTGTACGGTAATCCAGAAAAAGTTATGTGTGCCATTTTTGTTATGTGTGTCAACGAAGCAAAAAGTGAACACTGTCCATTCTATGTTCCAGTAATTAGAAAAAAATGTTAGTTTGCCTTGCTTTCTTTAAAAATATTTAAGTAATTAATTTAATCATAAATTTTGCTATTCGCTTTGGTGATTCTTCTCTATATCATTAAATCATTCGCTTCAACAAAACATTCCCTTAAAGATTAAGTTTCATTCAGGCTATAATTTAAAATATTCAAATTATAATATAAAAAAGAAAACACAGCATTAAGTAATGTCCAGGGACTAATCTGTACCTTTCAAATACACAATTTTGTGTACTCAAGTAGTTTAAGATATACCATTAGCTAAAATGACATAAAATGAAATTACCTAAAGTTATCTGATTAACTGGATGCTTGAAATATGTTAATACATGAAGGAAAGTACATCAGACTCTCTAACTAATCTATTAAAGCCCATAGATAACAATGGTTCACCAAGGTTACAGACAAGATTATTTCCTTCATTTGTTTAGATGCTAGGAATAAGGCCTTCTGCAACCCAAACAAACAAACAAACAAACAAACAAACAAACATGTTCTGGTACCAAGTTATAGACCTATTATAAAATCTTGTAATTATTCCAGAATGGCTTCATAAAAACTTAGAGCAGCGTCTCAGAAGCCAATCTGAATATTTCTTTTTTTTATCCTGGACACATCACAAATGAGTTCCTTGTGATCACAATGCAAATTCTCCTTAGACACAAGCTGCAAAACCATGCACATTTAGGAACACATTATCCTGAATGCAGAACACGTCCACACATTTATGCACAACTTAAAAGGAGAAAATAAAGAGCACTATTGATTTCATACAAATCCATGGCCAATAACTCGATGCATGTGCTCATAGATCCACTTACATATGCAATGTACTCAGCAAGCTTTGCTTAAAATGTGACAAGGATTTCTTCTGACCTTGCAATGCAGAATTATCTCACTATAGAAAGAACACTTACTAAGCAATTTTGCACTGCCGAATCAGCAATGGGTCAGAGTTATACTAGACTGGCTGAGACACACATTTCCAGCTTTTGATGCTTCAGGGCACTATCTTAGAATACGGAACAGAAAACAACCCAGATGGCTGTATATACTTGTCCAACAGCATCCTTCCAATCCCAATTTTACTCACATATTCCTTGCCAGTCAGCTGTGAAGGACACACTTTTGTTTCATGCTGTAAACTCATTACCTTATTGCTGAATAATGCCAGGAGTCTACAGGAGCTTTTCTGAAGGGACTGCAGTTCAGAGGAGGAGGAGGCAGCAATCCAGGGGGCTGCACTTTGCCAGCAAATCACACTGCAGAAGCTGCTCCTAGTCATTCACAGAAGCCTGTGATGGATAGGTCAAGTGAATTGAGTTTCCTAGGCTGAATAGCAAATAACTCTTGTTTGCCTTGATTTATAGAGAAAGCAGATTATCTTTTGTTCTTTGACTGAACATTACAAAAAAAGGTGGCTAAATTCAAATTGCTTTAAGTTGTTCAAATGTAGCTTCTTTCAGAAGGAATAAAATAAGATGATGTCTTAAATATTTAAAAAGATGCTCAGGAAAAGATTTGCATATAATATGTTCTGGGATAACATTTTTATCTCATATTTAGAATGCATTCTCAAAGTTTTTTCCTTTTTCAACCAATATTAAATTGGTATTTAATAAATTGCATTCCATTGGTATTTAATACATTGCAAAAATAGACTAATAATGTACATAGGATGACTTTTTAGCTTCTTCTGTATAAAAAGGACAAACCAGTTTGGAAAATATTCAGGGAATG